TTGCCTGAGATTATATAACAGTACCGTGAAATACAATTAAGCCTCTTTCTGTGAGAGGCCAAAATGCATCCGGCATTCAAGAAGGAAAAATATCCTTCTAAATAAATATGCTTTGTTATTTATCAATTTAACTGGAGTGACAATATTTGACAAAGGCATCGTGGCCTTATTGAATAATTAAAATAATAACGCATCAGTTTTATAAAGCGCTTGTTCATGTTATTATTCATTCACTCCATACACGGTGGTGATAGATTACTATTGCAGCTACAGAGCACACTGAATAAATATGAACAATTATGCAACCTGAGAGTGTGATGGTTTCTTTAAAATTATCAAAATTATTTAATACAAATCCAGCTTATTCAGTACTTATTGTAAAAACAATTTGGGTTTGAGTTCACTCGTTTCATATCTAACTAGCAATAGGACACACATTACTCTGGGCTGAGAAACTGTTTTGCATAGAGAAGACAAACGCAAGGCTGTAAACGTGTGTAGTTTTGGCATAAAAGCTGCTGAGCTTGTGAAGACGCTCTCCTCAGGGTCACTTCTGCCAGAGCTGATTGTCGACCGCCTCAATCCAGTCTCTTCTGTTATTGTTTGTGATAAGATAAAACTGACCTTGACATTTGAAAGCATTGCCTCAACTTCAGCGCACACAACGGTGGCTTCTGATTCAAAAATAAATCATCACGTCTTATTTCTCACCCACACTGACTTTTCGTTCAGTGTGAAGTCACTGTGTCTAGAGGCAGTGGTAGAAGGACTCCTTTTTTGTACAGAAGATATTTTTGCCGACTCTCTGGTTATTTACCGTGACAAACGTGCAACTTCAAAGGACTATAGCCGCCAGAGACCGCGGCACCACGGCAGTAGGTGTGAGTCACAGACTGGAGAAATCAGCGCCAATACCCGGGCCGCAGTCCACCTTAGGCGTTAGCTGTCTTTCCAACACACTACAGCCGCTCATTGGTCCAAAGCTCATTTGACCATGATAATCATTCATGTGTTTGTTCTAGTTAATATTTATTGAATAATTTCACTTTTTACTAATGTGGAAAGACCTGTAAGATACCTGTTATTGGTGAAATGCAAATAAAATCACAACCTATCACAAATGTTGTGCCTCTTGGACTACAAGTTTAGATATGACTTTGAGTTGGACTCAATCGGCTGAAAAATGGTCCAACATATTACATTTGTCCCACTGGGTTTTTTACTTTTTAATAGGGTCTAAGAGCAGGTTTATCAATTCCTCTGAGCATCGGTTGACCTGTTTAACAAATGAGCGTTTTAATTGATTTTCTGCTCTGCTATTTATGAATCAGCAATTTTGTGGAGTCCTTCGAGACGACTGCTGGTAAGCTTTTGGGCTGTACCAAAATAAATTGATTTGGTTTAGGCGAGCCAGCAAAACTGCCAGTAAAAGCACAATCCATCCATCCATCCATCCATTTTCTTCCCCTTAATCCATTTCTGGGTTGGGGGGGTGGCAGTTAGAGCTGCAGCCAGTACACATAGCACCAGCCCCGATAGTTTTTTATATTGGGTCACTTTCATGCTTTTTAACTGCTATAAATGCCGTAATAGCGGCCGGTAACATGGCTGGGCCTGGAATTTCAAAAACTTTATGCAAATACGCAGTTGTACGCAAATATATCCAATATCAACCAACGCACAAGACAAACATAACATCCTTATTAGTACAAACAAAAAATCCACCCATGACTGTCGCTGACGTTTGAACCAGGATGAAGGGTTTAAGCAGCATCGCAACATTCATTTAGTCCACAATAAAGTGAGGACATTAGATAATTTAACACACAGTTAATCTGACAAACATTCACACTCACTCATCCACACACACTCTATCTGCAAGTGTTTCTTTCCACAGATCGGAAACTTTTAAATGCCACTGTTAGTACCATGGAGATGCTGTAATTAATTAAATGCTTTCAGAACAAATCTTGTCTCATGACTTCTGTGTGTGGTGCATTTCTGTGAACGCTCTTTGTCAATCGTTTTCATCTAGATAGCTAAGACAAAGCTAACAACTGTCCATTCAGATTAATATACGGTCAAAATTGGGTTTATTATGAAGCTGTCAGCACTGGTTATATTTGACATTATTATTGTCAAGTTATTCCCAAGCAGTCAAACAAGACACAAAACTTTAAAATGCTCAATTTGAATTCAATTTGAATTCACAGGAAAATTCACAGAATAATCAAACAATAGGCATAGTCAAATCGTTGAATTCTTGCGCTGGGCAGTTACTTTGTTGAGTAGGAAATCCGCTTTCTTTCACCAACCTATTTGACCTATGATCTTCTTTGGGGAAAATACATTATTATCGTCTCTCTCTTGACGTAATTGTACATTGAGGGAGGTCTCTGCAAACAAACAGCGACTAGTCTGACGTATGGCTTTTTAACCTTGTGAATTTCACTAAACTTTGGGTCAATGACTTCTCTCAAATCTGGCAGCCCTCTTAAAGTAGATATTATAGAAACGTTCAGGAGAGAGTTAAGGCCTGGCAATAGTTTTGTACTTGTATTTGCTTTGGAAAAGTTTCAGTTTTTTAAAATGTATTTAGAAATGTATGTTAGAATACACAGGTGAATTGGTTCATTGCAACCAAAAGTTGTGATTTGACAACTTTGACCTGTTTGTATCTCCTTGAAACTGGATGCTGCAATGGCCCATTCTGAGATTTAAAAAAAAATCTTATTCAGGTGGGTTTGGTTTGTATTATGGAGAAGTTGTTAAAAGGTAATGGAGAAAAGTGCTTTCTCTGCCTTTTTTGTTTCTGTAAATTGCATCATGTAGAGGATCACAATTTTGACAACATGTCTATTTGGGATAATTTGTTTTTTAAAAATGTGTTATTAATAGTATTTTTCGATGAGGACAAATCATTATAGAGTAAAAATAGAAAGCCAACTGTCAATTCCAAGAACATTCTATTTTTAATCAATTATTTTTTATGATGAGACAAGATCTGCCTCTAGACTGTGCACACATGATTTCATGGGATTCGCATTTGGCTTTGAGGGCTTAACGCTGATGAGTGCCACATTTTCAGAACCCCAAAAGCAAAGATATTGGACATTTATAGAGTTACTTTGTGATAAAAATTGTGCTGAAGACGGACAGCTTTAAAAATTTGTACATTTTAACCCAGAAAATGGTACAATGAAAACTCCATCACATAATTTTTCTCATGGGTTAATCTTAAACACAATTTGTAAAAAAGTATAAAAAGACTGGATATTATGTTTGCAAAGGCCAGCTGGTTCACCTTATCGAGCTGCGTGTTCTTTTTGTCCTCGTCCACTTGTTGATATTAGCTCAAAGAAGCGAACCATATCTTCCTTTGGTGTTCCCAGGCTTCTCACTGTCTGTAAAAATAATATACAAAAAGCCACGGAGGAGAGGGAATACTGTTTTAAATGACGTACAGCTGTGCACTACAGTAGGCGATATTTGCCGAGAAAATTATAAGTACAAAGTGCAATTCCCCAGACTGTGGTTCTGAGCCCTGTCCTGGCAGAAATCGTTTGAAGATTTAATTCCTGGAAGTTGTGTAACAGGTGCTTACATGGGCCCATGGACTTTCTTGTTTTATAAACTCTCAAATGTTCAGTTCTAGGGGATTTTCTGAGAATGCTTCTGGCTGCTGGGGCCTCACATGAAATGAAATACATCTAAACCCTGCTACGTGATATTGGCTTTTGCAAACAAACTAGAGCTGCAATAGTGTGACTGAAGAGGGAATTAATTATGCACTGAAATGTTAAGCCGCTGCGTTTCTAGAAAAGTCTTGTGTTCAGTTAGAAATGTCAAATCGACGCTGTTAAAAGAATATTAATACATTTTAAAAGTATTCGGTTTTTTGTGCCCAGTAACTATTATTACCATTTAGATTTAGCCTTTAATGAATTCGAGGTTTAGATGTATTCGAGGTTAGCCTTAAATGTTGTGGTTGAGCATAGCTTTACTCCCATCTACATTGGAGACAAGCAATTCAATTTGGCTTGGTTTCAAGTCATTATCAGTGGGGATGAGACGGGAGAGTTAATAAGAATTCCGGTTTTTGAGTGAGATTTGTGACTTTTTCATACCAGTGTGGTACATACCAAGCAAAGAAATAAAAAAGAGAAGCAAACGCCATTAGAAAAGTTCCACAATGCATCTTCAGAACTCCAATTGATCTAAACTGGAATCTAGACACAGGTTTTCATAAAGATCAACCACAATAACGAGCATCTGTCATTACAGTAGATCTTTGGGGAGATTGTTTTCAAAGAAGCGAAGAAGACAATTATTTCAGATTTTTCACAAGCTTGTTCCTCTCTGTATCTGTGAATCCACTAACCCTGACCCAGGCCATAGAGCAGAGGAGTAGTATTGTAGTATGTTTGTCTTCTGTGTATCCTCCCATGTGGCAGCCTGTGAGCCCAAGAGCAAGAAAATAAATGAATTTTGAATCTTTGTATATTGAAATCCTGAGACATAATCAATACAGGATTTTTACTTATTCAAACAGACCATTCTCAGCTACTTCTTTTTTGACATATTTTCAACCCACTGAGCAGTTCTTTTGTCAAATACATTTCTAGGCTACAAGCAAAGTCATTTTAATACTTCACTGCCTTCATGGTCTAATTTTTCGCAAGAACTGTAAAGTGCGATCTCGTCACGCTCTTGAACTCTTGTTTTGTTGTTTCTTCACAGGTTTGATCTGCTGCAAAGGCGCTCTCTGACCACACAGCTGCTACTTCCCGTTCCACGGAGTCCGCATCGCCCACGACCAAGAGATATCGAACTGGTGCTTAGTTTACCTCCACCATCTGCCTCCCCGCACTCTCCCTGTGTCCAGCCTGAGCCGTGTCAATCAGTCACCCGCCCACTCGCGTCCTTTTTAAGAAAAAAAAAAAGGAGAAAAATAAGCAACAACAACACCGCTCACAAAAACCCACTCAGTCGCAGCCAAGATGGTGAGCAAGCTGTCTGCCTTCGGAAAGACTCTTCTCCGCCGGCGCAAGTTGGACTGTTCCGGAGAGGAGACCCGCTTCGCCCGATGCCTGTCCACGTTAGACCTCATCGCTCTGGGGGTGGGCGCGACGCTAGGGGCCGGGGTGTACGTCCTGGCCGGGGAAGTGGCCCGGGAGAAGGCGGGGCCGGCCATCGTCCTGTGCTTTCTCATCGCGGCGCTCTCGTCCATGCTGGCCGGACTGTGTTACGCAGAGTTCGGAGCGCGGGTCCCCAAAACGGGCTCGGCGTACATGTACAGCTACGTCACGGTGGGAGAAATATGGGCCTTTATCACGGGTTGGAACCTCATCCTGTCATATGTCATAGGTGAACATTCATTCCTCATTTGTGGATGTTGATTTGCATGATTACTACTACTAATTCCTTTGGATGTATCAATACCTTGGTAGGGTTAGTACTAGAACTCAATACTCGATTTCCTGCTCATTTTAGACTGATCGTGATCTACTGAACTTTATAGAGAGTTTATGAAAGCCATAGGCCAGGGGTTCCTCAGGGGTTCAGCGTATGCAGAGGAAATGTACTGTAGTATCATCTTACAGAAGATGTTAAATTGTTTTGTACTGTGTTCTGAATTTAGACTAAGAAGAGCTGGATATTTTTTTCTGGTAGAGGTTTCTGAACAAAATGAGAATGAGAAAAAAATTTCACCCAAACTGAAAGTATGGAAGGTTCAGAATCCCACTTTTGTTTTTTCATTTAACTGCTACTAATTGCATTTTTGGTTAAATATTTGTAATAGATAACTAATTGGTTATTTTATCAAAAACATTAGCTTTACATTGCCATGGAAGCACATATAAACTCTACCATCAATGCTCAAAAGTTTATAAAGTATCAAAATATAGTAGTTGTATATCGCTTGCATTCTCGTGTTTTGTCTCAACTGATTTGTTAAAACAGCAAAAAGCTCTTAAAATTTGATCTTGTGAAGTGATAACCGTTATTAATCCTGCAAGAAAGATTAACCTCTCTTGCAAAAAGACATTTTAAACTCAGCTCTTTGTCGTACATCCGAGCTCAGATCTGTCTCTCTCTGCAGGGACGGCGAGTGTGGCGCGGGCCTGGAGCTCCACCTTTGATAACCTGGTGGAGCAGAAGATCTCTGGCTTCTTCAGAGCCTCGATGGCCATGGAAGTCCCGGGTAAAGTGCTCGCAGAGTACCCAGACCTGTTCGCCCTCATCCTGGTGCTGCTGCTGTCAGGTGAGAAATGGACAATTATGTTGAAGACTGAAAGATAATTTACAGATCGATTGATTCATGTCTGTTGCTGCAACTACTGTGTACAGTTTTATAGAAACATATTATACAAAATTGTTCCCTTGGTTTATCTGTGTTTTTCTCCAGTTTCCAATTCTCTGCCGTCAAATAACGTTTTTTACGACTTTTACCACAAGACTGAATGTTATTTCTTTATCCATATGCTTCAGTTCTTGCTTACTTTTAAATGATTTCACATTGGAGTAAATATTCACTCTATTTAGGGGCCAAAATGAGCACAAATAAAGAACACAAAATTGCATAACACAATGTAAGTCCTGGGCAAGTCATCTTTCAGCTTTCCCAACCACAAAATACCTTGAACTTCGACACTCCCACTTTACAGCCTCAAGCTCTGCACATTCCGCCTGCAGTAACACCTGGAGTTGAAAAGAAGTCAAGAAACTTAAAAAATCTCCAGAAATCTGTCTTCAAATCTTTGTTATTTAACTTTACAAACCGCTTCAGGTCCGCTTAGGTCTGCCCTAGAGTTTTTTCTTGGTTTTTTGTTGTTTTAAAAAAAAAAAAAATCCAGCTTCTCAAAAAAATACATTCCTTAAACAATTCGGATCCAAATTTCCTGATAATGTTAAAAACCAAAGTCATGTTGCTAACAGACAGACAAGACGGACCCTGGTGAAAACATAACCTCCTTGGTCGAGGAAATAAAAGAGGAGATGGCAAGTAAAACCTTCATGAAATGCAATGTCACGTTAGTAACACATTTAATTCAATTCAATTCAGTCGTTATCTCGGAGGACTTTGCAAAACACAGATCAGAGAATCAAAACGTTCGAACACAAGAAATGCAATGATAAAAATCACAGAAAGCCATTCATAAGGGGCAGATGACCAATGTCCATAAATGTTGTTGAATGTCACATGTTAAGCAGTTCCTGCATTAAAGTAACTTACTAATTAAAGATTACTAAACATTATTTTCTTTTTGGAGACGGTTCAGTGAGAAATGGCACCAGTATATGCGTTTGTAGCTTATTGAATCGTGTGTTCATTGCAGCTCATTATCACAATTACACCTCAGGAGGCTTTAGGTAATTATGCAGTACACACAGAATGACAGCATATGTTTTCAATCCCCTCGAGGAAACGGGAAAACAGATGCACAGGAATTAGAAGGATGTAAACACATTATCTATAAACATATTTTTGTCCTATTCTTTTGCTTTTCAACCCGACTGCTTCCCGCCCACGTGAATGCATCCATACATTTGCATATAGAGCCTTTAAAGTGGCAAAATGTCCGCACTTTACATTCGCGCCTCTTTCGACGCAGTTACATAATGTGTTTGTGATGTTGTAAACGCTGTAGTATCGGCGCTGGCTGCTGTTGGCGCGCGGCGGAGAGAGAACCACCCACGATGCACTGGGCCTTTGTTTTGGTGCCAGAAACCACTTAAGTTTTCACTCCGCTCCGTCTTTTCAAACTTTGCCCGAGGTCTTCAACGTGATGAATACCAAAAAACATCTCATCTTTGTATTGCAGTTCACCCTGGTCTCAAACTTATACATATTTGAAGTCATTATGAATTATAGCTTCAGGGGAAAAAAATCTCACACAAGGTAGAATGGATGGATAAGTAAAAGACATTTTATAGATAGTTTTTCTTCCAGTTGCCTGAAAAGATTGTGCTGGGAACGACAATGCACACACATGGTTCTGTGTTCAGGTTGTCACTCAGTATTGATTATTGGAATAAATAATAAATACAAAAAAATTCGAAACAAATGATACTTGACGTGCCAGTTCTTTTGTTTTTGTCTTTTAATACTTTTATTTATTAAAAAAAAATCAAAACATTGAATTGAAATATGTAGATATAAAAAGATACAAGGTACATTTCTCTTTCCCAAAATCACCCAGGTCAAGTGTTTTCTTTTATAGAATATTTCAACTGGTATCAGGTTGAAAACGTATTTTAAAATACCAATGAACAACAGAAAAAATAACAAATCATGAAGTATTCTTGTTTGAGGAATTGCCAACTTTATGTAATCATTTATTCTATATTATACATATTCACACACATTGTCGTGTTTTTTAACAGATGTAGTCAGTTCTCTATTTTGACTTTGTTATCTGTGTTGTCAAAACAGCCAGATAACCCTGTGTGATTTTATCATGTGCCAAAACAATCTTAGTAGTAGAATGCATTGCAAAATTCTCTGAAAGTTTATGACTGTAGTTTCTTTGGACAAAACTCAAAAGAAGAGAAAATATTTAGACTGTATTTATTGATCCACGAGGCAAATACTTGACTGAGTGTTTTCGCCACAGGCCTCCTGGCGTTCGGCGTGAGCGAGTCGGCGCTGGTGAATAAGATCTTCACGGGGATCAACCTGGTGGTGCTGGGATTCGTCATCATCTCTGGCTTCGTGAAGGGGAATCCGGAAAACTGGAGGCTCACCGTGGACGACTACATCTCCTTCAGGAACGCCACCAACACCAGCAGCGCCACCAAGTCAGTCTCTGAGCACAATGTGGAGCCTTGTGCCGCTGTGTGTGTTTTTTCTCACAAATGTGTGTCTGTGTGTGTGCTCTGCTCCAGAGTTGAGGAGGAGTTCGGTGTGGGCGGCTTCGCTCCGTTCGGCATTAGTGGAGTCCTCTCTGGAGCCGCCACCTGCTTCTACGCCTTTGTGGGCTTCGACTGCATCGCAACAACAAGTGAGTGTCTGTGTCAGAAGATGCAGGCAAGAGGCCGCTTCATGTTCGAGAATTCTGTTTGAGGGCATGTGGCGAGACAGCTCTATGGGGAAAAAGGACAAACGTACACATGTTTTCCCAGATTTGTTAGTTATTAGATTCACAAAGCTGCCATGTTATTATAATCTGAAAGTCCGTTCTACTGGACAACATATGCATATGTTTTTGAATATTGTCACCACTTATAGACACCTTTTTGTAAGAAAATAATTAGATCCTATTTGATATGTATTGACAAAGATTTTTTTTAAAGTTTTTGTTTAATTTATATTTGCTCAAGAATTAGAGAAAAATTAGCTCTAAACAAAGACTAGAAGTTTGACTTTTGCAGTTACCAGGAAAGACTTTTCAGCTGCCCTCCAGACGTATGATGAAAGTTTGTACTTTTTGTCATGTTTATCACAAACATGACGTTGATAACTATACTAAATGAAATCTTAATGTTTACCGTCGTAAACATGAGATAGTTTTATTTGCACTTTTTTAGCCTAAATTTGAAATGCCAATAATGAGCTGAAACAATCTTGTATAAGAAAAAAGCACATTTCAGTTTTATTTCCTGCCGTATTGCTTTGCCCTCTGCCCCTTTATGTGACTTCAGCAAAAACGTCTCACGAAGGCATCGATCCAGCGCAGAAGTCATGTTAGAGATCCAATTTGTTTTTTCATTTGCGCTGAAATGCCTGTGCAGTAATGCTGCCGAATCATCTGCGTATCAAAGATTCAGAAAACTGAGAATATTAATTACATTAAAAGGCACAAATCTTTGTTCTTTTAAAATCATTCCATCCTGTAAACTTTGTGAGAGAAGACAGGGGACTTCTCCAGGCCCCACCTGAATATGACCAGTGGATTAACACCTACTTTAATACATTTAATTTTACACTGATTTTCTGTCACAGACTGTGACAGAAAACATAGAAATAGTTTGAAATCTACAAGAAGTGAACCAGACTTTGAACTGACGACGCCAGAGCGATTCTGATAAGGCGAGTGCCACACATCCGCATTTTCTGAAAAGCCAGATTTTTTACTAACAAAGCTACTGTTGACCCCAAGAATAAAGGAGTTGCAGTAATTACATGGATTGGAAATGACTAATGTCCTGTAAATTTCCGCCCTGTGGTGCTCACGTTGTTGTAGTAGTGTTGTAATAATTAAACGTCCGTGCATTGTGAGTCACCTGTCATTCATTCGCCGGGTTTGGAGAAGGCTCGGCTGTAAATACTACACTGAGGCGTGCCGAACTGTGAACACACTGACTTTTAGCTAAAAGACCTATGTTCTTAAACTTTGCTCAAACATTTTGAATTGACATAAAACATTGACATATTTACTGAAAATACCTAAATGTGTGTAAACTCTCCGTCGTACAGGGATTATTCAAAACACCCATCATCTGTACCTCTCTTTGTTTTGAAAAATCCCTGAACCACTGAGAGTTTACACAAACTTATGTACTATCTTATGTCAATTCAAAATACAAAGAGTAATTAGCTACTATGAGAAAATAATGTAAACACTGTAGAAATTAGTACTAAATATATTTGCCATCAATATTAATATCCACTTTTGTATTAATGCAATAATACAGGTGTTTTATTAACTTCCCTTGCCATGATCTAAAAAACTACTTTATAAAAATTTGTCACAAATCGAAATTTGTTTTTGTGCTAAAACCATGCTGTACGTATTATTTTCCTTTTTAAATTAAGAAACAACATTATGGCCTTGAAAGCCGACAATGTGTAAAATTGTATTCAATCTCTTCAAGATCCAATTCTAATAAATGTATTCTGCCATTTATTTATTCTATTTTAAAATATGACGTTGATGACTTCACAATGCTGAAAACATTTTTTATTTTCTCACTCTTGGACATTCTGTCAATTTTAGTGTTCAAACCATCATTGAAAACCTGAAAAAAGTAATCCACTTTACAGGCCCTGCTTTTCATTAATTTGATTGGCCTTGGAAATGTTTGGGAATCTTTATTAGATTTAAAAAAAAGTTGAGATGGTGGCAATGAACTGAACCAAACCTGGAGCTAACCCATGTGACATTTCTCGTTTTCTCGCAGGCGAAGAGGCCAAGAACCCCATGCGCTCCATTCCCATCGGCATCGTGGCTTCTCTGCTCATCTGCTTCATCGCGTACTTCGGAGTCTCGGCCGCTCTCACGCTCATGATGCCGTACTTCCAGCTGAACAAGCAGAGTCCGCTCCCAGAGGCCTTCTCCTACGTGGGCTGGGCCCCTGCGCGCTACATTGTGGCCGTGGGCTCCCTCTGCGCTCTGTCCACCAGGTGAGACCCAGGCTGGGGCTAAGAATGTCTCTGTGCTGCTGGTTATTGATGTAGAGAGAAAGGGATTCTGGAGGAATCAGCTGTGTTTAATTCAATTCAATGTAATCTTGTATAACCCTAAATTACAACTGTAGTTATTTCAGGGGATTTTTCAAGAACATTGATCCAAGAATCAAACGGTTCAAACACAAGAAATAAAACAGAAAGCACCAGATGACCTATGTCCATAAGTGTTGATAAATGTCGTGTTCATGTTGTCGTTTCAGTTTGAGAGCAAGTGGCAAAACAATTCTATGGGAAATGAGCATTTTTAAAAGAAATGTTGAAAAATTTAAGTTCTAAATGTTTTCACAGATAATTTTTTGATAGTGAGAGTAGATTTGCAAACTTGCCATATTAATCTCATGTCGGAAAGTCCTTTGTCCTGGCCAACATCAAGCATAGAGTTTTTGTGTATATTGTCACCAGTTCTAGACACCAGAACATAATTGGATCATATATCTGATGACAAAGAAGTTGATGAGCAGATTATTGATCGTTATCATAGTCACCAGCAAAGATTTCTCTGCTGCCCACAATTGTAAACTATATTCTCTAAACCAATTATCACAAAGTTGAACCAGAGTGCTGGTGGAATGCTCGATGGGATGCCAGAGGGCATAGTGTCAGGAATAAACCAGACAGAGACTGATCGTGGTGCGCCAAACTCTGAAAGTTTATTTTGGTTTCGCTCAAGTTCCAGTGGTTTCTGATGTTTCTTTCTCTCAGACAGAATAAAGGCGGTACACAGTTTATATAGTAATTGTCACGTCACACATCGAAAGACATACGTGTCAAATCCAAAGACAGTCACGAGTATATCATAGTCAAAACATAGATGCATCAGAGTCCTGTACAGTCTTACAGTTGTCCTGCACGTAGGCCAAATCGCTATTTAATCCTCACACTGGCCAGAGGCTTTCCTGGAGCTGGTGGTGCTGCCCCTCGGGGTGGCTCCCCTGGACCTACCATTGAGGAGGTCGACACAACATTCCAAAGCTGCTACCTCCCAAGTGCGAAGAAATATACTCTCTGGAGGTCAACCTTTTAAAATATACTTTATCCTGTGTTGATGTCACATAAGCACAACTTATTGAGCTTTGAATGAGTTAATGTATTATTCTTAAATACAAAAAGTACTAAAGTACAAGTGCAAATGGGAGCGGTTGAAAAAACGAATACTTTACATTAGCCCTCATTAGTTTTGTACCCTAATCCTAGCCCTAACCCACATGGGAAAGTGTCCGTAAGTAGTTAGTTAGATGTTGTATAAGGTCATGAAGAATAAGTGCTTAATAATCACCATTTAATAGCAAATTAGACATAAATTATTCGCTTTTTAATTTAGCTAATTCGGGACCAAGTGTGACAAAAAACACATAACTCCACGCCTTCTTACAACTTCAGCTACAAATATCAGCTTTCTTCATTAGCTGCGTTTGAAGCTAGCACTCGTTTTTTTGTTTTTCTTTTAAGAACTGTCATTGCTAGGATTTTTTGCCAAAATGATGTTTTATGAGAATGCTTCGAAGAGCCCCAACTCTTTCGTTTCTGTCGTAGTCTGTTGGGTTCCATGTTCCCGATGCCCCGTGTGATCTACGCCATGGCGGAGGACGGGCTTCTGTTTCGCTCTCTGTCCCGAATGAACCCACGCACCAAGACCCCCCTGCTGGCCACTATTGCGTCTGGAGTCGTCGCTGGTAAAGTTTGACAATAGATTTAAAGATTCAATTACAGCTTTTTGGCAACAAAGTGGTCCTTGTAATGTACATTTGAATTAAGTTGTTTGGACCTAATAAGTAGCTAAGTATCTAACTATCTATCCTGTCACTTCAACATAAATACATTAGGATTATTTGGTTCTTCTATACCTGACAATAGTAAGTTAGCAATGTCATTACCTTGCTAACCTAGTATTCACTTTTTAATTTTACTAAGAAGACGAGATGAATCTTCCTAAACCAATAAATTAAGATGTAATTCTGTATAATGCATTGATTTTGGATTTCTTTTGTTGTCACTGACTAAAGAAGTAAAACATTTTTGATCTTGTAGCTTTGATGGCCTTCCTGTTCGACCTGGCCGCTCTGGTGGACCTCATGTCTATCGGGACTCTTCTGGCTTATTCTCTGGTTGCGATCTGTGTCCTTATCCTCAGGTAAAACATGTGTATTTGCTCCACTGGGGATTAAACCAATGAAATATTATCCATAACACTGTTCCCTTGTTGTCCTTGTTCATCTTGACATGATTCACACCAATATGAGGATTTCTGCCTCAAATAACAATCGATAATTATTTGTATAGCACAATTTCTGTATCAACGTGCCATCCACCCAACATTTTTAACAACTGTATTCCAATAAAATCCACTTTATTTATATAGCTTATTTTATAAAACACGTTTCTAAGTTCCAGATTATAGTAACACATTATAATATACAAAAACGAAATATAAAAGCAATCAAAATCAATCAAAATCAATTAACATAAAATGAAATAAAATAATATAAAATAAAAACAATTGTCGTTATACATAAATATACATAAAATAAATTAAAACATAAAACATTAAAATAGAGAACCACACAACACATACGATGTTAAAATCCAGAGAGTAAAAGTGGGTCTTAAAGTTATAAAGGAGTCTTTTTTGACGAGCACATATCACCAGAATGATTGACAGTTGGGAGGACCAATAGTCTTGGTGATCCACCCGGAAGTAGAAAAACCTCCTACACATACCTTTAAGACAAGACTTAAAAACATTCCAATGAGGGAGCTGTTTTGGCTTAAATTGAGTTTGTTCCATAGTGTCTTAACGTGTCACTTGCCTTCAGGTACCAGCCGGGCTCCCTGAACTCCCCCAGTCAGATGGAGAAGCTGGTGGAGATGGTGGGAGGGGAGAAGGTGGCGGTGAGCGGAGGCGACAGCAGCGACGAGTACGGCACCGACGAGGCCGACGAGAGGCCGCTCAAAGAATCCTTCACCCTCAGACTCTTGTTCGTGCCCAGCTCCAAAAACCCCACACACATTTCCGGAAACATCGTCTACTGCACCACCGCCATCATCTGTGAGTCTGCCACAGAAGATAGACATGTGTTTTTACGTGGTGCACTTGGGGAGACTGTAGATTTTTCTTTTTTTTTTTTTTTACTTCCCCCAACCTGGAATTTTCAAACCTTATTCAGTTGAAAACACTATTTAAGAAAGGAGTAGAAGAAGTACGTGGAAGAGAGAGATAGAGGGATGTCCTTGGCAAGAGCAAGTGATGGGAGAGAGGTGTAGGGTCAGAGAGTGTTTAGGTCTGTCTTGTCTGTGCGTGTATTTTTGCAAAGAGTAGTGTAGCTTTTAAATTTCCCCCAAGTGTTGTCTATTTTAAGAGAATAGATGGCTAAACTTAAATGGCTAAACTGCGATCTCTCATATGTAAAGGATGCACTAAGACAAGAGACAGGATTTCTTTTTGTGGCTATACAAACAGAGCTTATTCTTATTACAGTATATAACGGTATCCTTTCATAGCGCCAATATTTTCTTTTCTATTTTTTTTTCTAGGATTTAATGTCTAGAAACTAACATATACTTTCATTCTTAGTTATTACAATCATCAACCCACACAAATTAATCAATTCAAAAAGAATTTTTTGAATTGCAGAGAGTGGGCAGAGAGTTTTCTCTGCCCGCTTCCTTCTGCAGTTGATGTAACACGTTTTATGATTGATTGACTTGTATCGTTCTTGTTTTTTAGCCGTTTTTATCACAGTCCTGTGCGTGCTGCTGGCTAATTTCCTGGACAAGTTGATGACCGCTTCTCCCGATGTGTTGGTGCCCGTCATCATTCTGGCGCTGCTCTGCGTGATCTGCTTCATCATCATCTGCCGACAGCCGCAAAGCAAAGAGGCCCTCACTTTCAAGGTACTTTTATTACTATTATTATTATTACTACATTTATCCCAACAACTATTGCATTTTACTGCATATTTGCACTGTCTTGTCATCTTTGTTGTAATTTTACTGTGTCTGCCTGTTTTTTAGATTATTGCTTGCAACAAAACCAATCTCCCCTAAGGCCGCTATAAAGATAATTTTGAACTTTGATCACTTTGAATTTTTTATCTTAAGATACTGACAAAATGTCCAGACCCAGAGTATTTCTCAAAACATTGACAATAATGCGCTTTTTCACAAAGCCTGTAGCAATTATTTGTTTTATTGATAAATTGTCCACTTTTTCGTATAGCACGGTTTATAAACAGCTTCCAGATAAATACATTAACAATAAATTTACTCACACATTGGACGACCCTAACCCTATGTTGAAGTAAGTAGAAGAAAATTAAAGTAGATATGCAAGAAGTCAATAAATCATTATAAATATCTATCTAAATTAGGTAATAATAAATGATTGATTAGTTGTCAAAAATGCTGTTTGAGACTTTCTGTAGATTTTAGTGTGATAAAGCTGACGTTAAGCTACTGGGAGACATTCTCACTGAATCTTTATTTTTGATAAAAGTCCACATCTGTTTGAGCCATCTGTTAAAATCACATTTCACAACCCGTACAGCAGTGAATGAATAATTGAATAGGTGTTGGTTATTGAATTTTTAAAAAAAGAATTCATTGTATTAACTTGGTACATGACAATAAACGTCTTTGCATCTTTGACTTGTCATGAAAACTTGGCTCGATCCTGGGGTTTTTCAGAGCCCAGGCTTCAAATAAAGTTAAAATGTACAGTTCCTATATTTCTGCAGGCCCACAGATTGAGAACCCATGGTTGGTGATGTAACAGAATCCAATTGTCTTTAGACTCATTTTAAATGTTTTAATATGTTATTGCCTCTTGCTCAGATTTACTGCAGCTCGTTGTAGCAATTGTATTAGTTAAAATGACCAATCTAAATCCACAGAGTGCAGTGATGCCGATCATCAAATCTAATTCAATAAACTCATTATGAATGGCTTATTAAATAAACGCATGGCTACTTCCTCTTGTCATAATCCAGAACCAGCACTACCCCATGGCATGCTTTTTTATCAGTACTTTTATTAATAACAAGGGTTTGTCTGGCAGGTGCCGCTCCTCCCCAGCCTCCCTCTGTTCAGCGTCTTTGTAAACATCTACCTGATGATGCAGCTCGACATGGGCACGTGGCTGCGGTTCGCTGTTTGGATGGCTATTGGTGAGAAACACCTATTGTTGTGTGGTTTTTAGGACCTTGGATCAGAGTTTTTCAATTGCATTAAAATTAATTCAACAGTCTGCAATTACACAGGTCATTAAATGTTCTCTTTGAAAAAAATGTGGGTAGATCAAAAACTCTACCTGCCGTTTACTTTTTGTATAAATAAGAATACATTTAACTGCTTTATCATCAAACCATATAAATATTTAGCAGTAGCTCAGCTGGTAGAACGTGTATCCAATCAGAAGGTTGCTGAATCGAATCCCACTCCGACATAACCATGCCGTTGTGTCCTTGGGCAAGAAGCCTAACCTGTCTCGAAAGACATTGAAACACTTTATAAATGTGACCATATACCATTTTTCACATCTGATATTTGTAATAATTTACAATGTTCTGCTTTGACCATTCATTTTCTCCCCCAGTCGCTGTAATTACCACCAGTTAATTAACCACAGAATTGAAAAAGTAATGTGAAATGGGAAAAAGCAACTGTGCCTCTTGGCGGGGGTCTGCGCTCTACTAGTGCTTTTCTAGTTGAACCTTTATTTGGTACAACAGAAAGTCCATCCACCCATTATCTTCCACTGAAGTGTCTAGTGTCTCTTCCAGAAAGTACTTTTAATTGTTAAGGCTAGTCCTAATGTCCTAAACACAAAGTTGAACGTAATTATGGAATTACCAAGTTCCATTCACTGACGACAATCCTCATGAAAGGTGAAAACATCTGATTGTGTTTGATTCTTATGTCACTTTTCCCCCTTCAGGTTTCGCCATCTACTTCTTCTACGGCATCAAAAACAGCAACGAGTCGGCGAGCGGGAAATCTCCGCGCAAATACGAACCGGCCCAAACCAAAGCTCCCATCTACACCGGGGCTCCAGACGACAGCGACGTGGAGGGCAACAACACCGCGTGACATCACAGACTGCAAACTTAACCTCAAAGTCGTTTTATTTTAGCAAAGTCTAATAAAGCCCCATTCCCGTAAAGGTTCTGTGGAAGTGCCGGGAACAAAACCAAACCTGACGCATCCATTGATCTCCCGTTCACATAAACGAAAGTCCCAGTGCATCATAAGAATTGAATGACAATGGGAAGAAATGAACCAATATTCCCAGGAAAATTCCCAGAACCCAAAAATCTGGAACCGGCCCTGGACTGTTCAATGTGATGTTGAAAAAACTGCGGCAACTTAGCACCTCAACTTTGGTTTTTGGATGCTGAATTTCTCCAAATCTAGGACACAAACCAGTGCAAACTAGAGTGGTATGAGATATAAGGAAGTAGAGGGTTGAATTTAATGAAAAGGTAAGCTAACGTTTTGTGTAGTCATCAATGTCATGGCAACGTCGGCCGCTCGATAAAGAAAAGGAGAGAGAAATGTGGTAGAAGTGGGATTGACATTCTGGAGGAAAGAAAAAATCAGATGGACTATTTATTTGTTTACAACTAGCTTGAGAATGGACCTGGAAGTATAGTGTTTTACGTCCTCACTTACTGGCCCTATTCACATAAACATAAAAATTGCGGGAATGCGAGATTAATTCCTTGGTTTTGAGGTAATACCGGAAAATGGGGCTTTTATATATGTGCACAGTATACCTCTCTCTATGACATGAGGCGTTTCATCGTGGACGTCGATGTTTACTTTAGCCGCCTGTCGCTAACAAATACATTTCTGGACTTCACTTGTCGAGACATGACCACAACTCCACGCTTCAAACTGGAATAATGTTACATATTATTAGCGGTCTTCATGTATGTGCTGCTGGGATGTCGAGCGTGGCCAGTGGTTCTCACACTTTGCACTTTATAAAAATGTATTACAGAAATATGAGGCCTTCACTGCGAGGAAAAAAAAATGCCAAAAAGGTGTAACTATTCAAAATTATAAAGGGTTATTTTGAGTTACAAATAGCGAGAAATGCCTCACATATGGTAGAATGGGGCAAAGGCTACTGTGTGTCTTGTTGTGTTGGCAATTCTTACTTGAAAACGGTCCAAACACACATGTATACTGATAGATATTTGAAGCATTTAATCACTATTTATATTATTTATTTACTTATTTGTCTAGTGTCTACGATCATCTTAAATGGCTAAACTGTGATCTCTCATATGTAAAGGATGCACTAAGACACTAAGACAAGAGAGAGGATTGGCTTACCATAAAGGCATTATTGCTAGAAGTACTGTACTGTATGAATGGGCTTTTTCAGAACTAGTCCAGGACTGAAGTTTCCAACCAGGACCAAATTTAGACCAATCTTGAGCTAAAATGAGTTATATTTGTTTAGCCAGTAATTATACAAAATGCACTTATACAAGACTTAACTATGCTTTAAAGAAGATATATTATGCATTGTTTTTAGCTGCTCAAAATGATGAGACTTTTTTACTTTGTCTTTTCATGTTTTAGAATGTGAAATAATATCTCCAGGAGAAAAGGTTCAGTGAGACAAGTCGGAAGGGTAAAATTGCTTTCCACCTGTAACTCCCTATGCTACCACCAGAGGGAGTTGAATTTGAATTTTTTACACATTTGAAAATTTACCAGCTCTAAATACAGCTATGTGATTGTAAAGAATGTACTTTCACCTGAAAAATTACAAAAAACAAAGTGTTATAGTGGTAGTCCTGTAATATTATGATCATTGAGTCATTCTGAGACTGGGGCGGAGCTACATGTTTGTGCCAGAAGTTCTTGATATTAGCTTGGGTGGGTCTAAAAACAACTCCAGGTCTGCTTTGAATGAGGCAACAATGGTGTAACATGGTCAAAAGCTCAAAAAAGTTCATTTTTCATGATATATCTCTTTTAAGCATATATAACTATCTAAATTGTCATTTGCTGCTCAGTCTGAGAACCACTCACGCACAGACTTTCTGCCTTTTAGAACACTTGAAGTTGATTGCGCGTGTTTGTGTATATATATATATATGTGTGCGTGCGCGCGCTTATCGTTACAGCCTGTTTCGAAATATGTGTGTAAAAAAACAGGGTCGTGCTAAAATAAGGCGTTGTTTACCGTTTACAGTCAGTGCAGTTGTCCGGGTCGTACCTCCCACCAAACAGCCGTCCCGCTACACGCTTCCGCTGCTTTTTAATACCACAACTATTTTTAATATCACGCATTCGGACGCATACTGAGACATGTGGCCTTTAAACTACGTAAACTTGACGTGTTTTGCTGCGACGTCAAAGCGCTTTTAACCGGATAACAGCAAAAGATTACTTCTTTTTTCTTTTTTTTGCATTTTTAACATAATCCCTAGATACACAAAGACTGAACTAAAGCAAACTAAACAAAACCTGTTTGACACACAATACTTTACTCATGCACACTAACACACACCATACTTGCATATACAGATTTTACATTGAAAATCACTATTTAAAATATAATCGATGTATAACAAAGCATCTATCACCATCACAAGAATCCAAGCTGGGGCACCTAACTTTACTTTCTCTTATTCTTCCTCTTAATTAAATTAAATATATCTTTCGCATACGTTTAGGAAAGAGTAAGAGATTTTCATTTCATTAATTTATCTCACCGTTTGAACGTGACTTTAAAACCACCTTACTATACTCTATGTATGTATTTAAACAAGTCAAACCTTAAGCAATCTTCCAAATCCATAGACATCGACCTGTTGTTTGAAACTACAGCTTTGCAGTTACAATTTCACATCAACGTCCTGCGTGTCATTTCACATTTCTACTCTCCTGATGACTCACAGGAGGCGTGCGTGGGTGCGTCGCTCTCGGCCAATCACGGCTCACCGTGAGAAACTGCGTCAGAACGGGCCCCGCAGTCTGCCTGAGGTCATTCAAAGCAAACAGAGCAAAATATGAATCCTGCTTTTTATGTGGTTAAATGCACTGCGTATATCGGTCCGAAGACTTGAAGGCATTTTTTAAGAAGCGTCACTACCAACTCTATTTATAACTGTCTGTGTTTTCCTCCCAAAATATCCACAGATCAGACGTGATTTGCACTTTTGAAAACAGTCTGAATTGTGTGGTTTTTTTTCTGTCAGAACCTGCTGCACCAGCGAGATAAAGGGTTGCTCCAATGTAGAGATGTTACATTTGATAGAGCCAAATGTAAGGCCGAAAAGTGTAAAGTTGGTCAAAGAAGGCATTGAATTTGGGAGGTGGCTGCATTGAATGTTTGACTTTCAAAATGCTATTGAAATTGTGTTGCCATCAAAATGGAAGAATATAATCACTTTTTCTTTCTCTCCCTCTGCATAACTGCAGAGGGAGAGAAACTTTCCATAAACAGGAAAGTGTGTTGGTCTGGTTGGTCCGGATCACTTTAACTCAGGTGTGTCAAACAGGTTGTCATTCCTACCAAGCAAACTCCACCCATTTCCTCAGGTGAGTCCAGTCTTAACCTGAAAACTTGAGTAAATGGGTGGAGTCTGCTCTTGCTTGGTGAACTAGTTTGACACTCATGCTTTATCTGGACCCAGTCTGGTTCATTTGTGGTAAAATTCTTCACTGTTATGACTGTCTGAAAGGTTTTAGGAAAGACCCGTCCTCCTATATACCTTTAAGTGACTGGTGGACCCATGTTTGTTTGGTGGCATCCAAGGAAAATAATTGTCCCAGTCGACGCAAAATTGGTCCAGTGACTGTGAACCAGTACCCTCAAACTGGGGTGTCCAAAGTATGCTCTGGGTGCTACATATACAGACCCCATAATGACCCATTTTATCTTGGCCCTCTGGCTTCCTGTTCCATTTTAACAATGATATCGGGATGTCACATCCATCATTTTGCTATATTCTTGAATTACGCTGTTTTTAACACTTGCTACTTTGAACCATTTAAGCATTTAACGGTGTGTCTGGCTCTTCGCTTGGTCTATGTTTCAAACTGTGGCCCTGAAAACAGCACTGGTCTGAAAGGTTTCTACGGTCTTGGAAATCCTGTTAAAAAAAAAAAGTCATGGAAAATGTAAATTCACTGGAATTGTCTTTGGGAGTTAGTTTATAGACCTAATAATACATCTATGTAATATCACACGAATATTGCTGAGATATTAGCCTTAAATTTGGCTTTTGACCAAACCTGGAGCTGCCCACGATATGATATATACACGGTATTATATAGTTTTATCTGAACTCCGATTTCTTCTTGTGAGAGGAGCGTTTTTCTCTTCACAGAATCTGTATTTGGTTTCAATGAAAACGTGTCTGAGCCCCCATCTCAATGTTTTCTAATAGAACTGTACATTTACTCTTTCTCTGTTAGAGTTGTTCATATTTAAATGTTTATACTATTTTGGGACTAGCTTTTTATTGCTTATCAATCTCTAGACATGTATGTTATGTTACATATTAGTGCTTTTGGTCTATGATGACTTTTAATGAAATGACTGTATTTTTGTGATTTTAATTCTTCCTGACCAAAATGACATTGTTTTTGGACATATTTTTTCTTTCCAAAACAGAACGACCATTTAACTAAACTCTGTCTCTAAATTCCTGTATTTTATTTTTGTAACATTTTGCCCCCATGTGCTGGGACAAAGTGAAATATTGTTCATAGCGTTTGTGGTTTTATCAAAGTAATATTAGCCTGTACAGTATTATTGTTAACTGTCTCTTTTTGTATTGTAAATTATAACTTCATGATTTGGCTTTTGTACATTAATTTCCCTTATTTTGACATATTGCTGCTGTACAAAACAAACACAAATCTTCTTTCTCGATGTAAAAAATATGCGCTTTTAATTATTTTTAGAAGACATGCATTCACTGTTACAGACATACTTTTTGGAAACTGTGCCTAAAATATCTGTCTTACTTTGGGCCTTGCGCAGGGACAAGCTACTATCAAAGCGGTTTGCTATAGCTAAACAGAAATGGCTAGTTTTGAGAGTTTTAAGATGCTAAACTTCTGAATTAGCTCGAGTTGTACCCAAAAATAGCTTGAATCCTGCCTCATAATCCTCTGTGCTGTGGCGTTAGCAGCAGCTTTATTAACTTTTGTCTGTTTTATATCCTGTAAATATGGCCGTCATGTAAAAAAAACAAGCTGTATTTTCAATGTTTTTGTTTTTTTAAATAAATAAAATGATGATTCATCCTGACAACATTCCAGGGAGTTGGTTTTGTTCTGTTCCGTGTTCAAGGAAAAATTCTGAGCGACTAGTTTTGCTACAGTAACTAAACATAATGGAGCAGTTCCTTGGAAATATAAGTTGGCGTTCCAAGTTGAGTCCAACAAGTACTCCTACCAATTTAAAGCCGAGCAACATGGTTTTCAAACTATAAACATAACTCTCCCAAATCAATTACAAATTAGGTTATAACCAGGCTGTATATCTAGTTTTCACATGTATGTATGGTTTGGCCTCTGTTTAGAGCTTTTTCAGACAAAGTTTAAAAGAGAGGACCACCCCTCACTCAACCAATCAGCTCAAAGCGTCAAATAATCACAGGACTCTATCTTATGAAGAAGGCAAGCATAAAATGTTTTCTATAAAAATGAAGACTGAATTGTTATGGTCTGATTTGTTCACAGAATTTCACTTTTACAATACCGATACTATTTTCATTGGAACAAACATACATATACGAAACAAAATGTAGGTACCCAAGCTTTAACTTTTTCACTTTGCATTTTTATATAGGTGCAGTGTGCCACTTCTCTGACAGGCTTCACGACCAATATTGTTGCCATGGAGATGCTGCTTTACTTGTACATTATGTACATTATTTCATTGCAGATGTTATTGCAGCTCAAAAACCTTAATTCTTATACTATCTCGGCTCTCCACTCAGCAGTAATATATGTGTAGTATTATTATCCCCTCGTACTATTATCCCTTTTGTAAAACAACAACAAACTTTGGAAATTAGAATATGTATGACTTGTTTGACTGTGAAGTTTTGTAAATAAAGATTATTAAATTGAATATGAGCTGTACCGTAAACTGTGGGACATAAAAGGCAAAACCATTTTTATTTTGACCCAAGCAAGAAGCAGATTCTTTACCAGTAAGTGTATGCATTGAATCTTTAAATCACAACTATTTTTGTTGTTGTCTCCAACAGAAGAAATAATGAATCAACATGACACGCTGATTCAATGAGCACTTGTGTAAGGCCTAGAAAAATTGTGCTGCGTTCTTTAACCCAGGATCATTGTTTTTATCCCCGATTTAATGAAGAATTAGGGACATTGTACAACCTAATGTGGGGAAATGAATAAGTAGCACGGTGGCATGTATAAAATGTCAGTGAGAACAAAACACCTATTGTGGTATGAAGAAAGCTGGTGTTGGGAACGGTTGAATAAATTTGACCTTCATATACGAGCTTGGGAATTTATATATACTAAAGAAAAAAAATAAAGCAAACTTACTTACATGATCTATAAACAAGAGACAACTTGGAGATGTAAATTTCTCCTCTGTGAGATAAATAAAGCTTATCTTATCTTATCTTATGTTTTTGCTTTGCTGGTAATGTCACAGATTATGGCGTTTAAACAGTCGGGGCAGAGATCTGATACAAAATGACATTAAAAACTGTAATTGACTAAAATACTAAGGACAACATCTTCATAGAGACAAGTGGCTGAGTCTCCTCCAGAAGACTAGACAAATAAATACATATAATTCTATAGTCTCTGTCTCTCAGTACAGGATTTCTTGTTGTAGCGGAATAGAGCTTTTAGTCAAATTTGTTTTTCGTTCTACAATTATATCTAAAAACCATTTGCTTGTATTAAAGCAGGGACCGGTAGATCCACGAGGGACCATCAGGAGCCTTCCTCATCATGTGACAAGCGCGCTGTTCTGAATAAACGTCTTTTATAGATTAACAGCGCCCTCTCGTGTCCATGTATACAACTACATGCAAGAATCAGCAGGTCAGACTCTGCATTGATGATATGAAAACCTATCTTCAATGTTAGACCGATAATAAATAGACCAAGGTGAAAATCTGATGTACAGGCCATGTCTCTTATACATAGACGACTCTATGTCAGCCCAGGAACCTATGCTCGGGACGGTTGTGTCTGGCTCTCAAATCTTAGTAGGCACAATAAGTAATAGTAAGAATGTTTTATGTATTTCTTCAGAATAAAATTTTATATAAACAAAATAATACATTCTGAGACTAATATATCACTTTAAATGTATTGTTCTTGTTTAAAAAAGAAATCAAACCGTAAAGCTCCCACAGAAATAGAATTAAAGACTTGTTTGGCTCTCTCAGCTAAATACAATCTGTAGTAGGGGTGTCCAAACATTTTAGTAAGAGGACCTCTTTGATTCATGAAAATTGCCCAGGGGATGACATCACCGGTAGACTGGATTTGGGCTATTCTGAGCTTTAAAATGAGGTATAACATGGGTATATTGATAAATATAGATACATTTGTGCCATACAATCAAAACTGTCTAACAGAGTTAACGAGAGTATTCTAGAGGTCCTGTTCTTTACAATGAGGTATAACAAGCCAATGTTGGCAGAGCTGAAGTTGGCTGGTAAGTGAACTTGTCTCTATGATCACTCTCTCATATAGACATAAGCCGATCAAATCTAATATCGTTATGTATGCATAGCCAATCTGGTAGCCGACACTACACATTTTACCTTTAGACTAGATGTACCGTAACGTGACTTGAAAATGCACATCCAAAGTTTTCTAGGCGTAAACTGCTGCAAAACGCACGCGCGTAAAATTGCGCACTGCGATTTTTACGCACAGTCCTTGAACGCATCACTCGTTATTGGCAGCTCTCACATGAGTCTCATTTAAACTATTTCATACAGGACTGTGGGCCTCTTCTTCCTCCCCTTCTTCTCCTTCTTCTTTAAAACTCCAAAGTCTTCTCATATTATTGGGAGTAAAACTTTTGAAACTTTTTTTTTGTTTTGTCCTTTTTCTATCAGGACGTGTTTTATGCCACTCCAATACCAACATCCTTCCCTCTGCCAGAACAGCCTCCATGAGCGTCCCCCCCTCGTTAACAGCGCTGTGTTGGGGTTGTGCTCTGCTGTGGACATGCATCAGGAGCTCTTGTTCAAAGTGCTGGTGATCGGGGACCTGGGAGTGGGGAAGACTTCCATCATAAAGCGCTACGTGCACCAGATCTTCTCCCAGCATTACCGCGCCACCATCGGAGTGGACTTCGCGCTCAAAGTCATCCACTGGGACAACAACACGGTGGTCCGCCTGCAGCTCTGGGACATCGCAGGTCTGTGAGGAAACTAAATATAACTCAGGGAGAAATTATATTGGTAGAAAAATAGATTCAAATGAGGTTTATCAGGGATTGTTAAGGCAAGGAAGGTGCATTTGTATAGCGCAGTTCATAAAAGGCAACTCAAGGTGGTTAACAAAACAAGAAAAGAAACATTAAATTCACAGAAACTACATAAATAATAAAAGTGCGTTAAAACGAGTGATCTGGATTGGAACATTGTCAGAGTAGAAGCTTGTCTTGTATTTTCAGGAAGACTGTTCCAGATTTTAGCTGTACAAATCTGAAATGCTGCCTCCCCATGTTTAGTCCTGACTCTGAGCAAGAGCATGAGGGCAGTCCATGTGCTCCTCAGAGTCCCAGCATGAGGCCAGTCCCTGTGCTCCTCAGAGTCCCAGCATGAGGCCAGTCCCTGTGCTCCTCAGAGTCCCAGCAGGAGGCCAGTCCCTGTGGTCCTCAGAGTCAGAGTTGGTTCATATGGCACTAACATGTCACAGATGTACTTTGGTGCAAGGCCGTAGAGAACTTCTTTAAAGTCTATTCTCTGAACCAAAGGAACCCAGTGATTTACCAATGGGAGAAGCATATGTCTTGTTTGCTTACACTAAAGCTGGGGTACCTAACTTTCAAACTATCAAAAAACGACAAAGTATAATGGAATCTATCTGACTTCATAAAACATGCTGGTTCTCTCACTAGTTTTCAAAAGCATGTTGCCAATTTGGACATGAGATCAGCTTTTTCAGACAGAATAGTGAAAAAGAGAGGACCACCCTCACTCAACCAATCAGCTCTCACCCCAAAGTCAAGTAGTGACTCAGAGGGATCTTTTTAACAAGTATGCAAAATATAAGATTTTTATTTTTAATGAAGACAATATGTTTTGTTCTGATATGGTCACAACATAACACATTGTATTTATTCAGAGAAAATAGGTACTATAGCTTTAAAGTGCAGGGTACCTAACTTCTTTTCATCGCTAATAAACCGACATGTGGTTTGTCCCATGAAGAGTCGTGAACAAGACCATGACCTGCTGCCTCCATATTTTTGCATAATTGTAAGAAAGAGCCCTGTGAGTCACTATTTGAGGCTTTGGTCTGAGGGCTGAGTGACGCTGAGTGAGGGGGGTATCACACCACCTCTGTATATAGTCAATTAAGAGTTCTTTTACTGATGGCTCTCTTCTTTATTATAGCTTGTACACGATATTTCAAGGGTAACATGAAACATGTAGCACAACGACGCCACCGTCGAACTAAAATAGGCAACATAAAATACAATTAGTAAAACAAAACACTCAAATAATGCACTTAAGCATATTAAACACATATATACACATACCTCGCTGGATGACCCATACTTCAGAGGCAGAGTTATGACCTTGTCATCGCTCTTATAACACAAATCACATTTGCTCTTAGCAGCGAACTTTTACCACACACGTCACTTGACATGTGGACTTGCGTAACTCAATTAGCGTCACCGAAAACAGGTAACGAAACAAAGGTTCCTACCCAAGGATTTTCAAAATAAAGCAATACATTTACAAATAATTCTAAAATACACAAATCAAAAGTATGGCAGTAAAACTCCCACCAAATCACACAACGTGATTTCTTATCAACATTAAACATATCACATGACAATAAAGAATGCCTTAGTTCAGTATTACTCTGCTTCTAGTAATAGCACTGTTTTCTGTACAGGTCTATCAAGATACACTGGTTTCATTGTCCTTTTCCCATTCTTATCCAGAGTTGAATCACTGATTAGCAGCTTGACTTTCCTCACTCGTCCATCTGCACTGGGATGAACTTCGGTTACTCGTGCAAGCTTCCACTGGTTTCTTGAGGAGTTATCCTCTTGAAGAATAACAATGTCATTCACTTTAGTGTTTCTCTTTTCCTTTTGCCATATCTGTCTTTGCTGAAGATTGAGAAGGTATTCTCTCTTCCATCTAGTCCAGAATTCGTTTGTCAAAAACTGTACTTGACGCCATCTTTTTCTCAGGTATAGATCCTGGCTCACAAACTCACCAGGAGGCGGTAATATAATGTTGGATTTCATCATAAGAATATGATTGGGTGTGAGAGGTTCAACACTTGTTGGATCGTTCAGATTTTCTACTGTTAATGGTCTGCTATTCACAACAGCCATAACTTCGTAAAGAAAGGTTCTAAGCGTGGTACTGTCAAGTCGTTTGGAGGTTTGATCAAGAATAGCCGTCAAAACACTTCTAATGGTCCTAATTTGCCTCTCCCAAACACCTCCCATATGGCTCGATGAAGGAGTGTTCAGTACAAACTCACATCCGTGTTGTTTTAACTGCTCTTGGTCAAAGTCTTTCATAGCACTCAAAAACTCTCCCTTAGCACCCACAAAATTGGTGCCTTGATCACATCTGATTTGTCTTACATGTCCACGAATAGCAACAAAGCAGCGTAATGCATTAATAAAGGCATCACTGGTAAGATCATCTAACATTTCAACATGTATTGCCCTAGAACACATACAAGTAAAAATAAGACCGTATCTTTTTAACTCCTTTCTACCATCTTTCACGTAAAAAGGTCCAAAACAGTCAATACCACAGTAGGAGAATGGAGGTGTAATTTCCATTCTGTCCTCTGGCAGATCTGACATGCGTGGATCTTGTGTACTTCTCCTGTACTTACGACAGCTCGTGCACTTGTAGATGTGTGAAGCGACTGCACTGCTGCATCCAATGATCCAAAGTCCATTCGCACGCAGCTCGTTTGTCGTTATTCCTCTTCCTTGATGACACACTTTCTCATGGTAGTGTTTAATCAACAACGATGAAATATGACTTGATTTCGGTATGATGGCAGGATGTTTGATATGTGGGTGAAGGCTCGATCTTGTTAAACGTCCTCCTACTCTGAGTACTCCCTGCTCATCAACAAAGGGACTTAGTTTGTAGATCTTGTGTGTCTCATCTTTGATTGGAATGTCTTTTCCTTGAATCAAGTTTTTGATTTCCTTATGAAATGCGTTGTCTTGTGCCAGTTTTATTATAAACACTTCAGATTCTTGTCTGTCCTTTATACTTGTGTTTTCACCCTTTGTTTGTGTGACACATTTAAAGTCTTTCACAAATTTCCTCAAACGAGCGATTGCTTTGACAGCTCTTCTCCAATCTGAGAATTTTGTGAGGCGGTCTAATATGGATCTCCCTTGTTGTTGTGTGCTGGTGTTAAGCACATGCAATGTTTTTAACTCAGGATCATTTGATATGAGATCATTAACGTCATAATCTTCAATGGGTAACTCACTTTGCCACAAAAACTCTGGACCTTTAAACCAGTTTGAGTCGAGGAGCTGCTGAACATTTAATCCTCTTGACGCATGATCAGCAGGGTTACTTTCAGATGGCACATGATGCCACTGCTGTGAATCTGTGAGTGACTTTATCCTTTGAATCCTATTTGCCACAAACACGTGGAATCTCTTTGCGTCGTTATTCACATAACCTAAAACGACTTTAGAGTCAGTCCAAAAATGTTCTTGGAGATTGCTTAACTCAAGTTCATTCCTGAGCATCACACTTGTTCTAGCAGCAACTACTGCAGCTGCTAACTCAAGTCTAGGGACTGTAGTAACTTTCGAAGGGGCAACACGCGCCTTCCCCATTACTAGGGCACAATGGACATCTCCTTTAGATGTTACTGTTCTTAAATAACTACACTGTCCATAGCCTGAGAAACTAGCATCGGAAAAGTGGTGTAGTTCACATTGTTTAATGTCTGTATTTGCAGGTAAGAGACATCTTTGAATTCTCACCTTTGATAGATTTTGAAGATCTTGAAGCCAGAATTCCCACTGAATTCTGATTTGGTCTGAGAGTGGATCATCCCATCCAGCCTTTTCTTGACACAACTGTTGTAGTATTTGTTTCCCCTTTAAGATGAAAGGTGCTACAAATCCCAAAGGATCATAGACTGATGCCACTGTGCACAGGACTCCTCTTCTGGTCATGGGATGCTCTTTGACTGTTATTTTGAACTGAAACTCATCAGAAGACACACACCACTGTACACCGAGTGCTCTTTCTAGCAGTGGCTCTCCTAGCGCTAGGTCTAGGTCTTTAACACTTTCTGCACACTCTTCTTTGGGTAGTGATTTTAACACATTTTCATTGTTTGATATGAACTTATGGAGTCTGAGTTTGCCTGTGCTACACAGCTCTCTCGCTTCTTTGACTAGTTTTATTGCTTCTTCTTCTGACATCATACTGATCAGTCCGTCATCGACGTAAAAATTATTTTGAATGAACTTTACCGTGCTTGGGTCAAACTTGTCCTCACCTTGTGTGGCTAGATGTTTTAAGCCAAAGTTAGCACAGCCAGGTGATGAGGCCGCGCCGAAGAGGTGAACCTTCATGCGGAAGACTGAGGGCGGAGTGCTTAAATCACCATGCTCCCACCATAGAAAGCGTAAATAGTCCTGGTCCTGAGATCTTACATGGAACTGATGAAACATTCGTTCCACGTCACACATAACAGCAACTGAGCCCATTCTGAACCTACAGAGCACTCCCACCAATGTATTAGTAAGGTCTGGTCCCGTAAGCAGATGTTCGTTCAGTGCAGTGTCTTTATACTGTGCAGATGCGTCAAACACTACACGTATCTTACCCGGCTTTTGTGGGTGGTATACACCATGGTGAGGTATATACCAGGCAGGGCTATTACAAAGTTCTTTCTCTGGCACCTTCTCCGCATCTCCACGCGAGATGATGTCCTCCATGAAGTTGACATAGTCTGTGTAGTACTTCTGATCCTTTTTCAATTTACGTTCCAGGCTATTCAAACGTTGCATTGCCATTGATATGTTGTTAGGAAGATTTGGTCTGTCACCTTTGAAGGGTAGAGGCATTTCATAATGTCCATCCGGTTTATGTACAATTCCTTCTTGAAGCTTGGTTAGAAAGTGAATGTCTTCTTGTGAAATGCTTTTCTCTTCCACTGCCCTTTCAGTAAAATCTGATTCAAGTGCTTTAATTACATCTGGACATGTTACTTCTTTCACTTGTGTCTTACAGATGTAATGCACTTCTTTCTTTAGCTTTGTATTTGACTCTGGTATGACTTGTTTCACAATGATGCGGTGACTTACTCCAATCATATCACTGCCTGTTTTAGTTGAATCACAGTAACTGACGATGCTCCAACCTAAATCCGTTTTCTGAGCAAATGGCTGGTTTTCTTCTCCACAAACAACTTCTCTGGGCATTAGGCTTTGTGGACAATTGTAACCTAACAAAAGTCCTATTTCACAATCCAATGGTGGAGCAATGTACTGAGCGAGATGCTCCAAATGTGGCCATGCCCTCGCAGTGTCTGGAGTAGGAATGTGACTACGATTAGCTGGTATAAAGTCACGTGTATAAACGATTGGTACTGTGAGTTTCTTTGTAGAAAATAGACCTCTTATATTTAGAGCTTCAAGTCTTGTACATGGCACTGTAGTTTTCTTGGCTGACATTGTGGATAGTTTAAGTTTAACTTGAGTTTTGGTTGTGTCCAAGTTATCTGCTACTTCATTAAGAATAAATGAAGAATCACTCTGTGTATCCAGTAGCGCGTAAACTAGCACTTCTTTACTTGGGTCACTTTGTGTAGATACGTACACAGGCACTATGGCAGAAGTCTGTGTTTTACTGCTTTCATGAGTCACTCTATTGGAATTGCTCTCATTTATTGTGTCTTGTGACTGGGACTTGTTTTCCTTTTGTTCACTCACTTGTTTTTGTTCTTTGGGAGCTTCTTTCTTAGGCTCTTGTCTCTGTCTTTCTTCATGCAAACATGTGGGATGACGTTTTGAACATGTATTGCATATCATTCTATTACTGCAGGCTTTGGATTGATGACCAGTGTTCAAACAGCCAAAACACAGTATAATAGCCAGCCCAATGCTGCTAGTGTGAGGCTGTAGACCCAGGCTTGTTGATGACGCGCTAAGCGGCTATGCTGTGGTTGCTCTGTTGTGCTCAATAAAATCCTCCAAGTCTTCAAAAGGTACGATGCAATAATCTTCATTTATTTAACAGTGCTATTAAAAGGATCCACAGTGGTATCACACGAGAAACAGTGAAAAACAAACTCCGCTTGTGCGGTCAAAAACCAATTTGCCCTTCTGGGTCACACCTGCACTCAACCCTGAGCTCATGATTCATATAAAAGATGAATGCGCCCCCTCATGGACACAAAGACCAATTACGCAAAGAAAAACACATATTTGGCTCCTATACACCGGCCCCTAATTGGCATGGTAAACAGTCATGGCAATTCATTTTCAAAAACAAAAAGGAGACAAATAATTCTGCTTTATTTTGTGACTTCAAAAGCCATGTACCAGACACAGTTTGGCTATTGGCTTCTCAAGTTAGTTTGATTTTGTTTTGAGTTTCACGGATCGAACCAGACCGTGACTGTCTGGGAATACCTCCAAAACTCTTCTAAGAGGCCCAGGTCCCCGTGGGCCGATGGATCATAATGTCCACAACATACCCTAAAGCCAGATCTTTTCATTCCATTTCTGTCGCTTCTGGAGCAAAGGTAAATACTCTAACCCCATTTCTTCCAGAACCGGTCGACTAGGTATTGAACCTGCTTCCATCTCCTCCGTCCATACTGGTCCTCCGGTTTGAAAACTCTAAGAGGAAGGGAGGGTTTGCCTCTCAACAACAAGCGGTTGGGTGTAATAGGTTCCAAATTGTGTGGATCTTCTGACAGCTTCGTAATTGGAGGACGGTCAGGCAGAATTCTGACTGCAGGCAAGTCTGCCAATTTTTGATCCAAGGGTTGTGCAGTGTATTGCCTGCAGATGCTGCACTTACCAATAATCTTCCGCACAGCAGAGTTGCCTTTGATAACCTGGTACTTCCTTCTCACTGATGACCGAGTATGCATCCGTCCTGCATGTCCAAGATCTTGATGGGCACTCTTCAGGATGAGCCTGATTACATGAGGTTCCTTGGCCAGGATTAACGGATGTTTTGTTTCCTCTGGCATGGCACCTTTGTTTAGCCTGCCACCCACTCTCAACAATCCATCCTGTAGAGCAGGATCCAGAGAAGATATGAAACTCTGGCAACTTACTCTTCTGTTGTTTTGTGGGGCCTCCAATTCATCTTTGAACCTCTGTCGCTGACAATAACGTATAATGGAGAATTCTGCATTATCCACCTCGTCCAATGTTAGACACACTCTTGTGGGCTCAACCACTGTGTTTGGGCGGCCTTTGGTGTTATATGCCACAGGACTTGCGTTCAATCCACTTGCTTGCTTGTGCTTACATTTTACTCTCTGGTGGAATTCCAGGTTACGCATGATTTTCTTCGACCTTTGTATCCTTTGTTTGGCCACAGCAAGATTGTTTGGTAAGTGGACATTGTTATTTTTGAAAGGTAATTTCACACAGTATTTTCCATCTTGTAATTTTGCAGACAAGTCCATCATTTGTATAAGCTTAATATCGTCTATTGATGTGTCTTGCTTTTCAGCTTCATTCTCACTAAAATCATAGTTGTACTGTTTTACTTGCAGTTTCTCCAATTTGCAGACTGAAATCCTATTCACAGTCACACTTTGAATACTAGGATCTGCGTTTCTATCCAATGGGCCATTTACAACCCAGCCGAGCACAGTCCTAACTGCAAATGGTCCGTTTCCTTGACTGTTAACTACCTCCCATGGTTCCAGTAGCTTGTGTGCATTGGCTCCGATCAACAAGTCAACCTCTGAATTTATGAATGGCATATGAACCTGTGACAAATATGGCCATTTTTGCAGATCATCGGATTTAACCATGTCTTGCGTGGTGACAGGCATTTGTTGCTGTGTGATGACTTCTGGAAGTGGGTAGAACTGGGTGCCACGTAGTCCAGCAACCTCGAGATTGAACAATGAGAAAGCTGAACATTTTCTTGTCTGACCCATTGTCCGCAGACGAATGTGCGTTCGTTTTCCAGCTACATTAAGCCGATGCATCAACCTTTCCGAACAAAATGTCCCCGTACTACCTGGATCCAGGAATGCATATGTTTGAATTATGCAGTTCCCTTTCACAACCTTGACTTGAACTGGCAGCACCGGTAGCATAGTGCGGTCCTTTCCGGCCCCTGTATGTCCACATGTAGTGTGAGGAGTTGGTACTTGCGTCGTTTCCATTTCACCTTCCAGGGCACGTGTTTGACGGTTTATGTGCAGCACTGTAGGATGACTTTGGTTACAGATTTCACATGTAAGCCTCGCTTGACACTCACGGCTGATGTGGCCTTGTCGAAGGCAGCCAAAACACACTCCCTTTCTTTTCAGCAAAAGCACTTTGTCTACGTGTCGTTTCCCATTGAACTGCTTGCAGTGTTCCAGTGAATGTTCCATAGAGCAGCATAAACAGTTTTTCTGGTTGTTCTGGTCTGTGGTTGATAGTGTCTGGCTACTTTCTCCATCGTCTCCATGTGTATTCTCGGTTACAGTGCTGGCCACCACATTTCCTTTCATTCCGCTTCCTGGTTGCGATTTGAAGGTTCTTTGATTTGATACACTTAAATTATAGTCCTGCAGATCACCAAAGAAAGGATCAGAAAGAATCTTTACTTGACGCTCAATAAATTCCACCAAGTCATGGAATCCAGCTCTGTATCCAGTAGACTCCATAATGTCATGTGCTCTGGTTCGCCACCTCTCTCTCAGTTTGTAGGGCAGTTTCACCAGGATAGCCCTCATGTTTACTGGCATATCCAGCTCCTGCATGTACTCAAGCTCCTCCATGATGTTACAGCAGCCTCGAAGAAAGAGGGCATAGCTCTGGAGTGCCTTTGTGTCATCAGTTCTTATATTTTGCCATGACATAGCCTTTTGAATATATGCAGTAGCGGTTTTGTATGGATTTCCAAAGTGGTCTTGTAATAGAGCTTTGGCCACAACATATCCACGGTCTGGTGGCATATGCTGGCAACTGCACACCAGTTCACGGGGTTGTCCCCGGGTGAATTGTTCCAAATAGTACAAGCTGTCGGCCACAGAGGCTTTGCTTTCCACACCTTGTTCAAATGCTCTTATAAATGGTTTGTAATGTAGTGGGTCACCATCAAAGATAGGAATGTCTCTTGGGGGAAGTGTCATGGATCGCTGCTGATTCATTAGAGCTGCAGTGATTTCAGTTTGTTTGCTCATAATGTTGAGAAGCTCTGCAGGCCACTGTAAACTGCTGTGTGATAAAGATTCATTTTGTTTGATATCCATTTGAGTTTCCATTGTGGGTTGATTGAGTTTCACTTGGTGGTGCTGTTGGATGATGGCAGGTTTTTCCTTTGGTCTTGAATCCATTATTTTACCCTTTACTGCTGTGTGGCGGACATTTTGATTTATTTCATTTGTTTCTGTAGCTTTGCCCTGAGGAATGAATGAATTGGCAGAAGGGTTTAGAGTGTTCCATGTTGCTCCTTTAATGCTTGTGGCCTTTGCATTTGAATTTACTTGGGAATGGCGCTCCTCCTCAGTATTGTACATTTCCAATTTTGCTTCGGAGGTCACCAATTCAGCTTCCAAGTCCAACATTTCCTTCCTTCTACGAAGCTTAGCCTCCTCTTCCTCGATAGCGTGTTTCTCCTTTAATATTTTCACACGTGCCAGGATTGCAGCCCTTTCTGCTGCTGCCTTTAATTTAGCAGATGAATTTGATTTGTTGCTTTTGTTACTTTGGTAACTTCCTGCATTTGACACACTGTCTGCTGGAGTAATTTCCACATTTTCATTATCTTTGTTAGTTTCATTTTGAGAGAGCCATTGTTTTACAGTGGAAAAACATTCATTATTTGGGAGCATTTTAGCTCTGAACCATACTTCATGTTTGTCACCCTCTTCAGTTGACATTAAACCCAACAATGTCTCATGAAACCTCTGTGCATCATCACACACAATTCTTAATTCATCAACAGCATTTAAAACCTTTGTTTTATCACACTCAGACATAAACTCTTTTAGCTCATTTCGAATGTTACCTGCTTTATTTAGTTTAGACTTTCTTGTATTCTGTAACTTATCCATTTTCTCAGCTAATGCCTTTTCAGTTAACTTAATGCTGCGCTTGTGACTTTCCACTTCATTATCACCCTGTTCAACATTTTTGTCCATTTCCAACATTGTAAGATCCAGTGAAAGTTATCTTCGTGTAGACGCAATAAAGTCTCGCGACAGCTCAGGTTCGCGATAGAGTTCACCCGAGGACACAACACGAAAGTAGGTCAAATAGTCACGTGACGGCTCCCGAACGCGTGAACGAGTTCAGATATATTCCACGGCGTTACCAATGCATTGGATTTAATGTGTGCACACAGAAAAGGCCTTGGGTGTAGCGCTACACATACCTCGATCGTTGGGCGCCTTTGTGTGATCCAATGTTGTCCAGCGATGATCTGCGGTGCGCGGTCCTGCAGCTCGGTCCTGTAGCTCGGTCCTGTAGCTCGGTCCTGCAGCTCGGTCCTGTAGCTCGGTCCTGCAGCTCGGTCCTGTAGCTCGGTCCTGTAGCTCGGTCCTGCAGCTCGGTCCTGTAGCTCGGTCCTGTAGCTCGGTCCTGCAGCTCGGTCCTGTAGCTCGGTCCTGCAGCTCGGTCCTGTAGCTCGGTCTGCTCCACGTAGCCGCATATAACCGCAACCACCGCTCCACCCCGTGGCTCGTGTACGGGCTCCACGTTTCCAAAGTCTCTTCTTCCAAAGTTTACTTTACTTCATTTGCGCAGTCAAATCGGCTGGTTTTTGACAGTATAATAGCCAGCCCAATGCTGCTAGTGTGAGGCTGTAGACCCAGGCTTGTTGATGACGCGCTAAGCGGCTATGCTGTGGTTGCTCTGTTGTGCTCAATAAAATCCTCCAAGTCTTCAAAAGGTACGATGCAATAATCTTCATTTATTTAACAGTGCTATTAAAAGGATCCACAGTGGTATCACACGAGAAACAGTGAAAAACAAACTCCGCTTGTGCGGTCAAAAACCAATTTGCCCTTCTGGGTCACACCTGCACTCAACCCTGAGCTCATGATTCATATAAAAGATGAATGCGCCCCCTCATGGACACAAAGACCAATTACGCAAAGAAAAACACATATTTGGCTCCTATACACAGTTTCTCACTTTGGATAAACTTCACTCTTTCTGTGACTTGTTTTTCTATGAACTTATGGCACTTGTGTAAGCTGTGTCCTGCTCTTTTACAGAACAAGCAGGGTGCTGCACTTCTTTCATTTGTGTTGGTTGTGAAGATTTTTGCAGTGTCTTGTCGTTTGGTGAAATGAGGTCTTGTCTTTGGTTTATCAAAGTCATTTTGTTTTATAGCTTGATATGATGTAATAGGATTACATGCGATACTTGCTTCCATTGACAGAAATGTCACAAAATAATTGAAACGTGGGAATTGCTTGTACTCCAGTTGATACTCAGTGGCTTTTCTGTTCCATCTGTTACTCAACCAGTCAGGTAGTTTAGCAGCAAGTCGTTGGTTCTCTAGTCCATCATCAAGCACATTCAGATTGTTATTGTGGGTCATTGCAGATTGACAACTTTGTAAGAAATCCACAAACTTTCTTAATTCTGCACTATCTTTACCTGTGATCCTTGGCCAGGAATGAAGTTTTTCTCTAAATGCTTTAGCAATGACAAATGGCTCACCATAGCGTTCATTTAGCATATGCCATGCTGCATCATACGAATTTTCAGAGCAGAGGAGAAAATAACCCTCTAAGGCTTCCTTCACAGGTCCACCAACATACCTTTGCAGGAAGAAAATCTTTTCTGTTGTGGGAATGTTCTTTCTTTCTATAAGAGTCTTAAAGGATGATTTCCAATGCTTAAACTTAAGTGGATCTCCAGTAAATATTGAAGGCTCTGGAATAGGAAGTCTATTTGCTGACATAGCTTCTGCCAAAACTCTCACTAGCTCATTTGTGCTTTTTTGAGGAGCATTATAGTCTTGTTGTGGGTGTGGCCCCCTTATTTGTCCACGTTCAATGTTTACTTTGTAAGAAGCAGACTCCTGCTTTACTGAAAAGTAGTCTTCATCATAAACTTTCAATTTGGCCTTTGCTGCATTAAGCTTTTTTAGACTCTCCAAGCGTTCAATTTCTCTTTCCAAATCCAGAACTGATTTCTTCCTCATAGCGCTTTCTTCTTGCTGTTTCTTTACTACAGCTGCTCTGTCTTGTTGTCGCTTTATCCTGCGTTCGGTTTCTTCCCTTTCCTCTAGGAACTGCTGTGACAATGCAATTGCTTCTTGTTCTGCACTTATGCGCTTGTCCTCTTTTTCTAATTCTTCAATGGTTTCTCTGTGTCTCTCTTGTTCAGTCATTATCTTTAGTACTGCCTTTGTAGATTCATACTCTGCAGCAGCCTCCTGTATTTTTACAGAGGATGCATTGGAGATGATTGTATGTGCCTTGGGGTGACTTTTTAGGAGTGACACACTTGAGGCAGAAGAGGATGCAAATATTGAGCTGACATCAGGCCATTTAATCTCTTCTTCTTTTGCTCCTTGAATCTGAGATGTGGTATTTTGCAGAACTATCTTAGTTACTGATGTGCACTTGTCCAATCTAGAGCGAATGTCATGAGGTGGCCGATCAATGGAGCGATATTCCTCATAAACTGAATTCAGCTCGTCCAGGTCTTTCTGAATGATATTAATATGTCCTTGCAGTATATCATTTGGATCTTTCTTAAGTACAGATTTTTTAGCCACTTTACTCATTGCTTTCCATCTGTCATAAATACAGTTAAATCGAAGTAGTAATCCCTGCAACTTGTCTTTGTGGAAATCCTTTCCCTTCTCTGACAATGTGCGAGGCCTTTCACTTCTACGAGGCTCACACTGATCCATTTGCTCTAAATCCTCTTCCACATCTGGATCTTCATGAACAGATTCTTTCCTTGCAGGTTCACTTAATTCAAACATGTTTTCTTCTTGTTGTAACATTATGAACTTGTTATTATTTATTTTTAATCTTTTTAACTTGTCAACTTGACTTGAGTAATGAATTTGACTTATTTATTCATCACAGCTTGAACTTATTACCTTGCAGTTGTTATTTGGCTTAACACAGTTCCTTGTAGTCTCTTCTTCCTTTTGTCACTTTCCAAACATAAACTTCAATGTCTGGCCTTTTGGACGTCTTTACGAAGAAGGACTGATGAACACGTGTACCCATTAACATTGCATTACTTTGGTCTTGTTGCGATGACACGATGTCTCCACCAGGAGGCAGAGAGCATGGAGGTCCGAGTTCGACTATCACACCACCTCTGTATATAGTCAATTAAGAGTTCTTTTACTGATGGCTCTCTTCTTTATTATAGCTTGTACACGATATTTCAAGGGTAACATGAAACATGTAGCACAACGACGCCACCGTCGAACTAAAATAGGCAACATAAAATACAATTAGTAAAACAAAACACTCAAATAATGCACTTAAGCATATTAAACACATATATACACATACCTCGCTGGATGACCCATACTTCAGAGGCAGAGTTATGACCTTGTCATCGCTCTTATAACACAAATCACATTTGCTCTTAGCAGCGAACTTTTACCACACACGTCACTTGACATGTGGACTTGCGTAACTCAATTAGCGTCACCGAAAACAGGTAACGAAACAAAGGTTCCTACCCAAGGATTTTCAAAATAAAGCAATACATTTACAAATAATTCTAAAATACACAAATCAAAAGTATGGCAGTAAAAGGGGGTTCTCTCTGTTTCACTTTTCTGTCTGAAAAATCGAATCTAAAAACGTGACAAAGTGCAAATATTACGTGCATGGGAAATCTGGTGATTCAACTGTTTTGAGAATCAGAATCAGAGTTGTTTTTATTGTTGTTGTAAGTAACAGGAAGTCACAAACTAGGTATTCTAGGCCGCTTTAGTATATGGGGGAAACAAGTTAAGTTAAATTAATAATAATAATAATAATAATTCAATTTACACACAAGGAGAAACTAGTTTAATTGATTGTACTATTTACTCCTACTGTTTCTGGTGTCAACTGTATCGGGGAAAAAAAGCTTTTGCTCGAATGATAAGACAATAAAATGGTTTTGTCCTTGGTATAAGTCTAGAACTGCTTGTTCTGTGAATATTTTGTGGAGATTTCAAGCAAAATGATTTTGTTTTGCTGTGTAGTGATGTAACAAAATTGCCAAACAGCATGAAATAGCAGATACACCTTTGATAGATGTGGAGAGAGGTGGAGGATTATTCTGTAGCCTGGTGATTTATCTGTTTATTTTCTCACCAGCATTTTTAGTCATTTGAAAGAAGAAGTATGTTAGTAGGTTGCAACTTTATTATTATTATTATTATTAGTAATTGAATATACAGTATGTGAACGTACTGGATAAACAGTGTACTCGCCAATTCTTTGTCAGTAAGTCTAAAGACATTTCTCCTAAATGTGCAACAAGCATTTTGCCTTTTTTTTTGTCTGGAATGTTCCTCAAGTTTGGCATTAGACTTTTCTATCTGCACTGGAGTGACTTCATTAGCTTACAGGTCATGTCTGTGGAGAGGAGAGCCGCCCTAATGCTAGAATTCAGGTTTTTGAGCAGTAAAAAGAATGGTGTTTTTTTTAATTTTTATAGGTCTATAGGTCTGAAGGTCGTGGGTTCAAGCCCACCATAAGACCTACGTCATGACTCCCACTGATGACTGCTGTCGTTGTGTCCTTGGGCAAGACACTTAACCCTACTTTGCCCAAAGCCCCCACTGAAAGATCTCAGCTCCTGTGGACTCACCACCTGCAGGAGGATCAGTGAGGGGCTGGTGCTCTGTGACTGGGTGCAGCTCTGACTGCCACCCCCCCGACCCAGAAATGGATTAAGGGGAAGATAATGGATGGATGGATGGATGGATGGATATAGGTCTATAGTTTATAGAGTCCCCCATGAGAAAAGTTGTACAGTTTGCATTTAAATACATTAGAAATTCAAATCAATTCCATTCAGTACCATTTATTTTTGTATAACCCTAAAACACAACCGCAGTCGTCTCAGAGAATCAAACAGGAAATACAATAATAACAAACACAAAGAGCTGTACAGAGATAAAATTAACACATTTAAATATACAGGTTTTATAGCTTTATATGCATGAAAAATAGAATGAGTAAAATAATTATGAAGAAAAAAGTGATTATCTACAAACAATAAACAATACAATTCCAGTTATTCAATACAAAAATGGCAATAAAAACAATGAAATTAATAAATGGTCCATATAGATTAAGATTACTTACTTACATAAACGTCCTTAAATGTCCCGGATCATCGCTGTAATAATAACATTCTTTCTTTGGCTGTGCAATTGTTATGGAATTGATGAAATAACAATTTTCACATGCACTGAGTTAAGCGGATAATTGATCATGAGTTTTATTTCAGATCGCAGGCCACAGATTTTCATAAGAATTTCTAGTTTCAATGGTAGTTTTCTTACTGTATGTGTTCAAAAAATACATATATAATCATGGATGCATAGGCGAGCCCTCTCCCCATTGGTCTAAATACTGGTTTGGTCTTACTGGTGGGACATAAACCAGAGGGAGGGCCTATTTTAAATGCAATGTGTTATAAATACTCATTAAACATGATAGTACAGAAATACATTTAACCCTTTAGGCGCCACCTTGAATCCAGGACACTTTCTATACAGTGACCTGGCTTCCAAATTCAAGTCAATTTTTAATTAAATGTATTTTTGTATATCCCGAAATCACAGCAGCACGGGAGTCGTCTCGGAGGACTTTACAAAGGTGTCGATTCACCAAAAACAGATCAGAGAATCAAATCAGTAATAACAAACACATAGGAGCCATTGGTCCATTGGAGGCGGATATGTCCAAATATATTAATAAATGTCCAAATATATTAATAAATGTCTGAGATCATCTGACAAATTTATACATTTTTTTCCTTTTGCTGATTTTAGTTGTCCTTCAGTAGTCACTTATCTAGCATTTAGCATTTCAGATTCATGCTGCTAAAAAATCTGGAGCAGTCTTCCTGAAAACGTGAGACAATGTTGAAACCCGCAGATTAAACAAAACAGTTCGGTTTAGCTGCAGCAACTAAAGGATCACTTTTTTTTTAACGTACTGCGATTACTTATAATTTTAATTCTTCATTTCTTTTCTTGCACTTTTTATGACCTGTGCTACACACTGTATCTATGTGTGTAGTGAAAGCCAGTCAAACTCTTCCCTTTGATTCTTTGATGACACAATGGTGGTTTGCCTTTTGTAGAATACTTTCAGACCTGTTTTTTTTTTCTATTGCCGGTCAATTTTAATGTTTCTTTTACTTTCTTTTCTTGCACTTTGAGTTGCCTTGTGTATGACCTGTGCTATACAAATGAACTTGCCTTGCTGCTACTGACAAGACTTTTATTTCCTCCTCATGTTTGAAGCATTTATGTGTGAGCTACAGCATCAAAGCAACACTAAAGATGAATCAGCCATGTTCTCTGGATCAGCTGGAATCTCCCTCTGTATTTGATTCTGTCTCGAGGAGCTGCAGGAATGTCACATGATTTCACGTTCGGCCGATGGGCTTTAAAACACGTTTCATGCTTCATAGTCCTATATCTGTATGTTTTTATGGACGTGTGTTTTATGCTCATTAGTGTTGGATGCTTGTGCAGGGCAGGAGCGCTACGGAAACATGACCCGGGTTTACTACAGAGAGGCTGTGGGGGCGCTGCTGGTCTTTGACGTCACCAGAGCCTCCACCTTTGAGGCTGTTCTCAAGTGGAAGGATGACCTGGACTCCAAAGTAAGAGATACAGGGATTTATGAATTGTTTTATTTATTTAATTTATTTAATTTATTTAATTTATTTTATTTATTTTATTTATTTTATTTATTTTATTTATTTTATTTATTTTATTTATTTTATTTATTTTATTTATTTTTATTTTAGAAAATCTTTTCATTTATTTTATTTGTGAATAGTCTGTACATTCATCATTCATTTTTATCCTTTTTGTATTTTGTTGTATTGTTTTGTTACTTTTAATGTATGTTTATTAATTCATTTATTTTGAATTGTTTACATTTTAATCTTTTTATTTTGATACATTTTTAATTTAAATTTACATATTGTTATTTCTTCTTTTTTTCATATTATTAACTTTTTATGTTGACGCAGAAGCGAACTATTGGGTTCAATATATTTTGGAGATAATTATTTCCTCTCTATACATTTTCTCAAGGTTATTAACAACAAAGGTTTAAATTCAAGTCACGTTTTTGGCTTTTTGTTTAAACCTGCTGTTTTTTGGATTCGGCTTTTCTTTTATGACAAATACAATGCCATCTTTCTGCAGCATCAAGTCCTTCAAAATATGACATAGTGAGGTCATGGATGGACTCACTGGGCTCCTACAAGATTGCAAAAAATGATGAAGAAGAAAAAAGATGACGCCAGAATGTTGTCATGTGAACAAAAAGTATTATATATGAAACTAAAAAGTCATACCTGAACTTCAAGAAAATATACTGTAGCGTTTAAAACAGTAAAGCCATATGGTAGACACTTGCGGTAAATAAATCCATGGGAGTTGGTGCAATTAGAAACTGTTTCTGGGCCAAAAAATGCAAAAAACAGGACAACAGTCGGGGAGCGCCAGAATCTTGGAAAATTTAACAAAAATAATACATTTGAGTCAAATAGAAATACAGAAATAATAATTCACATTAAAATACTAAATAGATTTTTGAACAATATCCAAGTTTGTATAACCAAATTAAAAAATAGCAAAAATATTTTTGTAAAAGATGAAAATTTTGACCAAATACTAATACAAAACAAAGCAAATCTGTGTTTGGGCTCCTTCATACAGTATACATTGATATGAGTAGAGGTTAAACAAGGCAATCCCATGTTTAAATCATAGACAGTTTAATAAATAATGGAAAATTAATTCTGTATGCCCTTTTCTCAGTTGTTTTTCTATGGACAGAATTAAGTTTTTTTCAGACTCCTGTTATATACGACATTCTGCAGACAAACCTTTCTCTTTCAAACGTTTTGATATGTTTTATGTTTCATGTCATGGATCGCCATGGCAGCGGCCCTCATTCTGAGAACCATGGATAAATAAAGGATTCTCTTCACTTTGAAGATCAGTAATTCACAAAAGTAGGTCAGGGCTCCACAGCATCCCGCCTATATAGACGACGACATATGGACAAATCCTCTATAAATACTTGTGCTGCATTTTAAACAGTCTCAGTTGGAGTTTCACAAAAAGGCTGTTGGGACTAAACACAGTCACAAAACATCGACAAAGTAAAACATATCTGAGGTGAGGGCCGGGCCACTCAGCGGGCAGAATACAAGAGACATTTTCATAGCTTTTGTGTTCTAAATGTCAGGGCGAGGCGCACTCCTGTGTCACGGACGGCCAAACATCTGCCTGAAATGCCACTGACGCTTTTAGGAAGGACAAAGAGACTGCAACCTCGCTTATTTTCTTTGCTCAGATGCAGGAAAATGGGTCCGGCTTTTTGTACAAATCACCAAAAGAAATGCGTGGATGTTTTCAGGTTTGCAGTGAAAGGGTTCAGATGGTTTATGCATCGGCCTTTGCTGCCAACCTGATGTTTGCTTCTTCCTTTTAAGCTCAATGACAACGTCAGTGCACTGCTTTGTCCACTAGGGGCTGTAGAGCGCTGTTCATTTCATTTATTTATTTATTGCAAGCTTATCCACAGGAATCAATTATTGTGATTTACAGCATTTACATATAATCAATGATACAAACATGCATCTGTACATGCACATACATTCATACAGTTTGGGGATTCCTTTGGGAAATAGAGTGGGAAGAAATCACATTTATAAGCTCCCTATGATTCCCCTTGTACGGTTGCATTATTATGTGTATTATTGTAACAAAGAACATGACAACTACTGTTTCTTACGACAATCTGTCTGTAAAGAGTGGATAAGTGAACAGTGAGAGCTTGTGTGAGTGTGTGTGCTAAGTCTCTGTTGTATTGTCATTATCATATTTTTTGTTTTTGTTTTATTATTACTGTCTATTATTATTATTGTTGTTGTTATAACTATTTTGTTTTGTTTTATTTGACTGTATCTACTCTGCTGTTCTATGTTCTTTGGATATGATCACGAGGACCCCCCATGAAAACGAGACAATAAAATGTCCATAAATAAATAAATAAAACATCAAATAATAATACAAAAAGTACCACTATTTGTTTACATGCTTCTTGGTTTGTTTTGTTTTGCTCTAGCTGATGGAATTCTTCAGTATGGGATTCAATGAATGTACTGTATTTCTGAATATTTGTAGATATATTTTACACTGACATTTTATAACAGTATTTTCTTGCGCACACGTACACTAAAACAATACAATAACATTTAAAACATTGATTATACGTAAAAGTATAAGTAGTAAAAGGACTATAGCACAGTGCACAATAATCATAATAACAACACTAAATAATACATAGTTTTTCTAATAGTTAAATAGAGTATATACTCTATGTCAGGGGTGTCCAAACTCGGCGGCACAGTGGCTGAGTGGATAGCACTCTCGCCTCTCAGCAAGAAGGTTCTGGGTCCAGGAGTTTGCATGTTCTCCCCGTGTCTGCGTAGGTTTCCTCCGGGCACTCTGGTTTCCCCTACCACTAAAAACATGTTCAATAGGTCTGGCATGCACCTCCTGTACTGACCCCGCTCCCATCTCTGTGTGGAGTGAGAAACAAATGCCCAAGAATAACAATTGTAAACTGCTTTGTGACTCTGGTCTGTGAAAGGCGGTATATAAATAAAGATTACTTACTTACTTAAACTGAGGCTCGAGGGCCAAATGCGGCCCGCTGTGTCATATTATGTGGCCCAACATAATATGACTCAAAGTCGCCATTGAGGCATCATTCAGCCAACTGTAGCTCCACCAGTATAGTCATGCTGTACCTCGGTGTTATGCTCGAAGGTTTTGGAATCCAGTCATATACCTTATTTGTAAAAACTCACATTTGTTTTCGATTGTTTCACCGAATCCCAAAGATGGCAATAATGTAGCTATGGTTCAACTTGTATTTTGAACCCAGTCAAATCTGAATCCATGTTGTCGGCCCCTGGACAGGTCTGGTGAAATAAAGAGGTCCTCTGACTAAAACGTTTGGACACCCCTGCTGTTTGTGTTGACGTGTTTGGAAACATAAATCTATAAAAGACTCTATAACATTCAACAAATGCGGTGACGTCCTTTCAAACACATTTGGGAGATTGTTGCTTGTTCACTGTGAGGCTGATGTCTGCGCACCACAGATAATGCCAGCCTCATGTAAAGAGACATATCTCCAATCAATCCATGTCACTTCCATTTGCTGCTGTAGAAATCCAGGACAAAACACGCTTTATAGTCTCCAGCGCCATTTTTACAAGTCACTCTTTTTACCATGCAAAAAGAAAACAGTACAATGTTAATTTTGCATGCAGCGCCGCTATTGTACTTTATTTCATTTGTGACTACTTGAATGAAACCCTGTCTTTTTTTAACTGCGTTTATGAAGTGTCTTGCCTGCTGTAAGCCCGAAAGACAATAAACGTAGTGAGTAGATTTGTGAGCGAGCTAATCTGAGCAAAGTAAAAGCCTTTTTGTAGCTCCAAGCAAATTTGGGGCAGGGAGCGATATTTCTTGTGCTTTTATTAGACAATGAGAAGCCGCCTATTTACTTGAGGCATTGTTTTTTTTCACCCGGTTAATGCACTCGCAGTTGTCTTTAACGTCTTTAAAGTCTTAGGTGATTTATTTTCTCGTTTGCAGGTGACTCTGAACCACGGCAGGCCGGTCCCAGCCGTGCTCCTGGCCAATAAATCGGACCAGCTCGCATCCTACAGCCCCAAACTGGACACATTCTGCAGAGAGAACGGATTTGTGGCCTGGTTTGAGACCTCGGCAAAGGTATGATGTCATAGACTGTATGTAGATGGACAATGCTAACCCCCTGCGCTCAATGATGCTCAATAGGGAAGTGCTCATGGACAAAGTTTTGCTCCAGCTCGCTCTGGAAAATACAGTATTGACTTACATTGAAACTCACTATTATGGGCTAAAGAAATCTCTCTATGATCCTGGTGTTTATATTTTGATATTGTCTTTTAAATCCAGTTTTGAGCCATAAGCATTGACCAATCAGATGCCTTCATTTGAGGGGGAAACTCCAGCTTGCCTTAGCAACCATATTAGAATCATGTCTGCTCCTGATGCGGCGTGAAACCAATTCCCTCGGAACAAATGCCCCTATAAGGAAACTGGCTTTAGCTAGCTTGTGTTCAAATCAGCATATCCCGGATTGAGACAAACACTATGGTGACGTCAGCACTCGGTCTCTGTGATCTTGACTCAATGGTCGTTTCTCTCTATTGTCTCACAGGAAAACAAAAATATCGAGGAGGCGGTGAATTGTTTGGTGGAGCACATCTTGAACAACGAGCAGAACCCCGGAGCGGACAGAGAACCGTCGCCTATGGTTCTGTCCGGATACAGCCACAGCCACCGGGACTTCAACTTCCAGTGTCCGTCCTGCCCCAAGTTCTGAGCTATGGGGCTCTGGAAGCAAAGGATAGCTCTATATGTTTGTTACTATCACGGCCTACGGTAACAGATATGGTTGAAGTTGCACTGAACTTTTGTGGTTTAATATATATAAAACTAGAATCAGAATTTTTATTTTATTTTCAGAGAGGCCATTTTGTTTTCTGTTTAAAGCTGAAAACACACACAGCTCACAGAAACATAAGATTAATAGATCCTTTATTTGTTCCACAGTGGTGAAATATCAGTTTTGCAAAACACGTTAAAGACAGTAGGAATAATGATTACACAGCAAGATAAACTCTTTACTAAAATAATATAAAATCTCTTGCATAAAAAAAATATTGGAAGGATGAAAGCTAAGATCAGTTTGCCTGGTTTGAAAAGTTTTTTCTAATCGGCTCTTGACAGAAAACATGCGAGAACTGGACTATGCAAATAACTTGCAAAGGGCCAGGTCATTCTTAATATTATTATAATTGTATTAGTTTTTCATCTCAATAAATGTTTAAAAGGTTTTTTAAAAGTGCGGGGTCAAAATCTTGAATAAAAAAAAGTTATTTTGTTACAATTAGTGAAGGCACCGTGAGGAAGGCCAAACCCGAACGTTCAAATAAAAGCCTTGTAATTAATTTCTACCACTACTTGAAATCATTTGATCACTGTCTTGAGTGATCTCTGTGGGGTTTTGTGTGAATGCCTGATCCTGTCAGATCTCTGCAGCTAAGCAGGGCAAGGACTGGTAGGTACTGTGATGGCAGACCTCTGAACACCAGGTGCCACAGTGGGGCGGCTGTGGCTGTAAAGTGCTAAACTGCTGTCGTGTCCTTCGGCAAAACACTTCACCCACATTGCCCAGAATGAGTCTGGTTGTGTGGGGTGGTGGTTGGAGAGGCTGATGGCACATATAGCTTGCCTCGCTTCTGTCAATGTGCCCCAGGGCAGCTGTGGCTACAGTCGTAGTAGTTCACTGTGTATGGAGTGACTGAATAATTTTGTATATTTTCTGTTGTTTTTATCAGTGTTTACAATGGTGTTTTAAAGCAGGGGTTTCCTAAGTTTTTAACCCGCGACCCCCATGATAAATGCGCTGCCAACTGTGAACATAAAAAAAAAAACATAAATAAAATAAATGAACACACAAACCTGCGGGCAAAACTAGACTGTCAGAAAGCACATTTACTCTAATGCAAACACTGTGTGCTGAGCAAAGCAAATCCAGTCTGGGTTTAGTTTTGGAGATGGCGACACGGACATCATCTTCCACGTTAAGACGTGATCTTTGTTTATTTTTTAGTCAGTGCAGAAAAATTCTTGTCGCATAAATAAGTTGATTCAAATGGCATCAGTGTTTCCAAAGCGGCTTTGGAAAGCTGCGGGTACTCATCCTTCACCAAAATCCAGAACTCATCCAGCGTTTTTGAGTCAAAAAGTGTCCTCAGGGTTCGATCAGATGAAAGTTCAATCATTGCGTCCTCCATGTCACACGCCAGATGCTTGCGGTGGCAGTGAAAGGGGACCGAATCCAATCGTGTTTTTCCTGCGTACCTTCTTCGGGAGAGTACTGTTAAAATGATCCAGAAGGGATTGGAGATGGCCAGTAATCGACTCCCTGACAATATTTACATTCAGTGTATTTTCCTCTAGAAATTTGTCTAATTTGGCAAACATGTCAATGCGCCCCATTTCCACCTGCTCTATCCAGCGCTCCATTTTACGCACAAAGGCCTGAATCTTATCATTGAGAGACAGAATGGTTGTGTTCTCGCCCTGCAGAGACATATTCAGTCTGTTTAGTTTTTCAAATATAGATGACAAATATGCCAGTTTTGTAATCCAGCCTGGATCAGTGAGGTGCTCTGCAAGAGGAGATCTTTGGTCAGTGAAGAAAATGCGCACCTCATCACGCAGCTCATACAGACAGCTCAGCACGTTGCCCCGCGATAGCCAGCGGACTTCTGTGTGGAGCAGCAGGCCCTGGTGCTCTGACCCCATTTCGTTGCAGAGAGTTGAAAATAGTCTTGGGTTAACTGGTCGTGATTTAATATGATTGACCATTTTTACTGCAGTGTCAAGGACGTGTTTTAACTCAGGGTCCAGTGAGTGATTAACTTGCGAGGGCTTCTCTGTGTATGATGCAGTGAGTAAATATGACATGTGGTGCCACTTGCAGGACTCATGCTTTTAAACCCTTATTTTTCCCGAGCATTGCACCTGCACCATCTGTGCACACTGACGAGCACTCGCTCAAAAAAAAAAGAGAGACCCTCTTTTTTGAGATTGCAATCCAGTTTGTTAAAAATGTCCTCGCCAGTGCTCGTTCCCTCCAGCTGCACGCAAAACAGCATTTCCTCACTAAACTTTCCCTCAAAAATGTACCTAACAGAAACAAGGAGGTGGGCGGAATTGGAGACGTTGGTGGACTCGTCCAATTGTAAGGAATACTTCCTTCCCTTCACTGCGCCAGTGAGTTGATGTCCAGTGCCATGTCACTGATGCGGCGGCCAACCGTCCCGTCTGAGAGCGGCACCTGTTCGAGCTCCGGGGCTTGTTTATCACCGTGCATAATGCGACTCATGGCTATTGCCGCTGGCTTGATTAAAGTTTCACCTATTGTGTGCGGCTTTTTGGTCCGTGCAATTAAATATGCCACTACATAGGAAGCCCTCTGAGCTTTATAGGCCACGTGCTAGATTGAATATTTTTAACTTCCGTTCCAGCGTCATGGGAAATACTTTTTTTCAACGTTTTCTGAAAGCTTATAACAATATGAACACAATCTGAAGTTTCCACACAAAGAATCCTTGTCGTATTTTTGCTAAGGCCAACTGAAATTTGAACTTTTTATCATGTAAAGTAGTATGTAAATTGCCATTGACCCAGTTTCAACCAATCAGAGCGCCAGATTTCTTGGACATGACGTCAGTGAGTCGGTGTGTTTGTCAACAAAGATGGCAGCCCCCGGTTGCAAGAGGCAACCAGGGTTTCCTCCGGGTGCTGCAGTGTCCTCCGGGTGCTCTGGTTTCCTCCGGGTGCTCCGGTTTCCCCTACCACTAAAAACATGTACAATAGGTCTGGCATGTGATGGGAGCGAGCTGTAGGTGACCTCTCTCCCATCTCTGTGTGGAGGGAGAGACAAATGCACCGAGAATTAACAATTGTAAAGCTCTTTGTGACTCTGGTCTAAAGCGCTATATAAATAACAATCACTTACTTACTTTAGGGCTGGGCGATATAAACGGTATAAGCGGTATGCGATATAAATTTGGCCAACAGTAGAGATTTTTGTTATGCCGGCATATTGCGGTAGGTCATTATGTCATCAAATTGCTGGGTTGCACGTGACAAAAGTGCGCCGAGGGACAGGAAGTAAATTTCCCCACTAATAACAATGTAAACATTCACTGATTCTGAGTCAAAATGCTTTTTTTTCTGTGGCGTGTACAGTTGTGGCAACTGCCCATATCAAGAAAGGAACTTATGGAGTCTCTACTATGCTAAAAAATATTTCTCTAACGGTGTCATTTTTTTTGGAAAATGCCTAATAAGGAACGGAAGAAATGCGCTAGCATTAGCATTAGCCTTCGTAGCATCTGCGGCCGCAGACACAGCTGACAGTCTGGAAAGTAATGGTCTTTACTTTGCTGACTTTCATTGATACAATGCAGTATTTTTGTGTAGTATGTGGTTGTAGTAACCGAGGCAACAGAAAGGAAGAACTGTTAAATACATGCTCTAATTGCAGCCCCCGCTGTTAGCTTAACGCTACGGAGTTAAGCTAATAGCGAGTAGGGAGATCCCCCTGGTTATTTACAGCTCAACATATCACCGAAATGACAATAAAGCGTCATATTTCTCGCTTCAAATGCTGTCTAAAATAACACAATACATTTAAATAAGTAACAATCTTGACTATTTCATCCAAGAACCTGCTAGACCTACTGTTTATTGAAATTCACACACCAAATTATACCGCAATATATACCGTCTACCGTCTGTGTCCCAAATTATACCGCAATATGAATTTTAGGCCATATAGCCCACCCCTAACTTACTTAAATGATCGGCAGAGGGTGAGGGTTATCATAATCATCATTTATCGATCAATGGGTGCAACATGATGTGCAATGAACAATGACTGACTGCAGGGCATGGTCAGCATGGTCAGAATGGGCCTGGCATGTTCAGCATGGGCCTGGCATGGTCAGAATGGGCCTGGCATGTTCAGCATGGGCCTGGCATGGTCAGCATGGGCGTGGCATGGTCAGCATGGGCGTGGCATGGTCAGTAAGTCAATGATTATTATGGTAATGTATAATTGGGCATAAGGATCATTAATGTATAGTCATTGTTGTCATCAGGGCAGAGCCAGAAACTTTTTGAGGGGTGCGCCTGCAAAGGAATTTTAGGCTAATTATTGAATTTTTTTGCCAAATCAAGCAAAGGTACATAGATTGACACAAATATTTTTTATTTTGTTTTTGCATTTCTAACGAGGTAGGCCTAAGACACGATGTTGGATGGAAATATGGTAGCTTGGTCTTCCTGGTGTTAGCACAGGTACCATCTCCTTGGTCTTACAGGTGTTAGGACAGGTACCATCTCCTTAGCACAGGTACCATCTCCTTGGTCTTACTGGTGTTAGCACAGGTACCATCTCCTTGGTCTTACTGGTGTTAGCACAGGTACCATCTCCTTGGTCTTACTGGTGTTAGCACAGGTACCATCTCCCTGGTCTTACTGGTGTTAGCACAGGTACCATCTCCTTGGTCTTACTGGTGTTAGCACAGGTACCATCTCCCTGGTCTTACTGGTGTTAGCACAGGTACCATCTCCCTGGTCTTACTGGTGTTAGCACAGGTACCATCTCCCTGGTCTTACTGGTGTTAGCACAGGTACCATCTCCTTGGTCTTACTGGTGTTAGCACAGGTACCATCTCCTTGGTCTTACTGGTGTTAGCACAGGTACCATCTCCCTGGTCTTACTGGTGTTAGCACAGGTAC